ATCACGTGTGTCCAAGAATCGAACTCGGGTTGCTAGGATTGACAGCAAGCACAATATACTGCTGAGTTATCTTTCTTACCCTAGGTTTCCTTCTTCATTTTTTTTTTTGGCGGGGGGTGGCGGGTTTCAAGACAGGGTTTCTCTGTGTTGTTTTGGTGCCGGTTCTGGATCTCGCTCTGTAGATCAGGCTGGCCTCGAACTCACAGAGATCCGCCTGCCTCTGCCTCCCGAGTGCTGGGATTAAAGGCGTGCGCCACTGCCGCCCGGCCTCTTTTTTTCTTTTGTGTGCATTGGCGTTTTGCCTGCATGCACGTCTGTGTGAGGGTCTTGGATCCCCCGCAACTAGAGTTTCAGACAGTGGTGATATGCCATGTGGGTGCTGGGAATTGAACCCACGTCTTCTGGAAGAGCAGTCAGTACACTTTACCACTGAGCCATCTCTCCAGCCTCTGTCTTTTTTGGTTTTTTTACCTTTTGAGATTGTTTTGAAAAGCCACAGAACTAGGACCTACATAAAAAGCCAGATAATCGTGGTTGTGCATCTGTAACGCCAGCCTCCCGTAGGAAGAAGGGAGGCATAGACAGGAAACTCACCTAGATATGTTCTGCATATCTAGCCCTGAGTGCACAGCTCAGCAGCAGAAAGAGACCCTGAGAACTGACTCCTGCAAGTTGTCCTCTGACCTTCTCATGGCCCTGTGGCCTGTGCATACACGCTCTCTCTCGTCATATACGCCTATCAATGTTTGAAACATTTTTTTCAAGTCCTAGAATATTCAAATTTCTTTTTTTTTTTCTTTTTCTTTTTTTTTGGTTTTTTTGAGACAGGGTTTCTCTGTGTAGCTTTGCGCCTTTCCTGGAACTCGCTTTGGAGACCAGGCTGGCCTCGAACTCACAGAGATCCACCTGGCTCTGCCTCCCGAGTGCTGGGATTAAAGGCGTGCGCCACCACCGCCCGGCTATATTCGAATTTCTAACCCTGACAGGCAGAGGGGCGGCAAGGGGGTGGGGGGAGCAGCTGGCTTCCAGAGGAAGAAAGAAAGGCGCAAACTTTAGCATTTCTGCAGCCAAACAGAACCAGGAATCCTGCCAGAGAAAGTGCAGGGTTGGGAGCCGGCATGGACATTCAGGAGAGGTTCTGGGCCTCAGTGTGGAGCCTCCCCACTTCTGGACCAGGAGAATCCTGGCAGCGCCCCCCCCACTGCCCCCAACCCCCTGGCAGGCTTCTACTTAATTAGAGACGAATGTGTTGGGGGAGGGGTGGATGGAGGCCTTTGGGTCTTCCTGTAGAGCCCCGTGTCCTGCACTTGGCCCTGCCTGGGATCCAAGCCAGTTAGTGTTGATTCTTAGCGGCTTGGGAACAAATGTGAGAAGCTGTTTTCCGGAGGCCTGCGCTTAGAACAGGATTTTAGATTTTTTTTTTTTTCTCCCCACCGAGAACAGGTGGGGTGGGGAGGTGGGGGAGTGTGACGTGGCGTTGCAGGAGGCTGGGAGACTGTTTCGGGCTGAGTGCTTCCTCTTCTGCCTGATTGGAAAGGAATGAGAAGATGAGTGGGCCAAGCTTGTGTGTCTCACCACAGATGACTCTAAGGGACGCTTCTGGTGGCTCTAGCCGAGCGGCTGAACCTCTGCCCAAAGGAGATAAGTCAGTTTGGTTGCTCTCTGTTGGAGCATTTCCAAGAGGAACTCCTAATGGCCTCCTAAGAGTTTCAGCTGACTCTTCATTTCTAGGTTTTCCTTTGGGATCCGCTCTGCCCCAGAAGGGAGCCTGAGGCTCTTCTCACCCCATTCAGGGGTCTCTTGATTCTAAGCGTTCTTAATTAACAGGAGGTGACACAGGCCAGTTTCTCAGGTAATGGGATGCCTTATTCTACAGACCTAAGCAGAATTGTCTGATGGGCCCGGTAGTGGGCGCACGCCTTTAATCTCAGCACTCGGAAGGCAGAGGCAGGTGGATCTCTGTGAGTTTGAAGCCAGCCTGGTCTGCAGAGCCATTTCCAGGACTGCCAGGGCTAGGGTTACATACATCAGGGTGGGGTGGGGAGACTGATCAGTGAGAGGTCCCTGCAGCTGGAGGGTGCTGTAGGCTCCCATTATTGTATGGTGGTGATGGGAATTATACACACTTGACCTTTTACATTTTTAAAAAGATCTGCTGCATGGTAGTGGCATGACTTTAATCTCAGCACTCAGGAGGCAGAGGCAGGTGGATCTCGGTGAGTTTGAGGCCAGCCTGGTCTACAGAGTGAATTCTAGGACAGCCAGGGCCACACAGAGAAACCGTCTTGAAAGACAAAACAAATTGATTTTTTTTTAATTTTATGTGTATGTATGTGTGCCCACTGCCCACAGATGCCAGAAGAGAGCTTTGAGGCCCTTGGATTGGAGGTAGGGATGGCTATGAGCCACCATGTGGGTGATGGAAACCATACCCAGGTCCTCTGCAAGAGCAGCCCGTGCTCTTAACCATGGGTCTCCTCTCCAGCCCCTGCACATGGATGCTACACACGCCCTCAGGGGCACAGAGCCAGGCGGATCTCCAAGCACAGGGCACCTCCTCCCACCTTGAGATATGGTCTCTCAGGGGGACCTGGGGTTCATTAATTATGCTAGGCTGACTGGGCAGCACCAGAGACCCTGTCTCTGCCCCCTAGTGTTGGGATTACAGATCTGCACCATTATGTCTGCCTTTTTATGTGGGTGCTAAGGATCAGACTCGGGTCATCACATACATGGCAAGCACTTTATCCCCACATCCCACTAGCCTCAGGGTTCTTCTTTGTAAACCAGGACACAGACATACAAGAGGTTTAGTGTGGGATCTGCTGCTTCTGGGCAAAAAAAGGCAGAAGACATCTCTGTAGAGGTAAGTCAGAATGGCTCTCCTATGTGATGTGTCAACTTTGAGTGACAGACCAGTTTTGACCATGTGACAAATCCCATGTCAGGATGGGATTATTCTGGGCTTCTATGGCCTCCGTACAGAGGACATAGGTGGTGGACTCAGTTTTGTACAAGCAGCATTAAGTTGGATCTGAAAGAGTCTCAGGTCTGGGCCCTAGAGCAATCCCAGGACAGAAGCAAAGCTGCTTAGTTCATGCAATGAGTCCGGTAGCGGGCCTGGAGTAACAAATGCTATCTGCAGCAGAGGAGCTCTGAGGCAAGCACCAGAGCCACATCTCCCCAGGTAATTCCAGTGAAGAATTTTTGACCTCAACCATTCAGCATTAGGCCCCAAAGGCTGTAGTCATCTTGTGTGAAATGAGATTGTCCGGCTCTTTAACTCAGGAGGAATGCGCAGTCCTGAGAAGCTGCTGCATAACTCATGTTCCCTTAGCTCCCGGGTTCACAACACACTAATCCATCCTAGCTCAGGCTAGCAATTCTCAGTGTTGGGCCAGCAATGTAGCTCTCAGGAATAAAGCCGGAGGCCTGTTCGAGTCCAGGGAGAGCCATGTCCCGAGAATCAAGGGGGAGTATCATTACAACATGAAGGCTAGGTGTAGTGGTACACACCTTTAATCCCAGCACAGGGGGGCACAGTGGGGCAGAGGCAGGTGGATCTCATAGTCAGTTCAAGGAAAGCCAGGGCTATATAGAGAGACCCTGTCTCAAAAAAACTAAATTAACAAAACGACGACAACGACGACGACATTCACATCTGTAACTGCAGCTCTTGGGAGGCTGAGGCAGGAGGACTGCCATGAGCTCAAAGCCAGCCTTTGTTATAAGGAAACTCGGTATCAAAAAGGGATGGCAGTGGTTGGGGTGATGGCTCAGGGTGTATCTGCTGTGCAAGCAGGATGACACAAGTTCGAATCCCCAGCACCCATGTAAAAGGCTGGACACAGGCATGTGGCCCTGTAACTGGTGCTTTGGGGGACAGAGACAGGAGGATCACTGGGGTTTGCTGCTTGCTAGCCTAGCTCCAGGCTTGGTGAGAGATACCATCTCAAGAAAACCCGGCAGTGGCAGAGCAGGACACCCAACAGCCTTCTCTGGCCTCTGCAAATACACACTACACATTCACAAACCTACAGAGGGGCTCACAGGACTGTGGCTGTGACTGGTCAGCATGAAGGGACCGCACCCTCTCTCCAGGAGTGGGAACTCTCCCAATGCATAAGTGAAAACTGTCCTTGTTGCAAATGCCTTAAGGGGGAAAGTCAAGTTCACAGCACAGGAAGGGAAGGAGACAGGGCTCCGACACCGGGGGAAACTTTGGGTTCCTAATGGGGAGGGCTTTTCTCATTACGTAAAAATGCTTTCATGGGCCAGGCGGTGGTGGCGCACACCTTTAGTCACAGCGCTTGGGAGGCAGAGGCAGGCGGATCTCTGTGAGTTCGAGGCCAGCCTAGACTACAAAGTGTGTTCCAGGACAACTAGGACTGTTACACACAGAAACCCTGTCTAGAAAAAAAAATGTTTTCATGGGGCTGGACAGATGGCTCAGTGGTTATAAGCACTGGCTGCCCTTTCAGAGGCCAGGGTTCAATTCCCAGCACCCACATGGCAGCTCACAACTGTTTGTAACTTCAGTTCTAAGGGACCTGATACTCTCACACAGATATGCATGTAGGCAAAACACCAATGCCAATGCACATAAAATAAAAATGAATTATTAAAGAAAAGTTTTCATTTCACTGGGCGTGGTGGTGCATGCCTTAATTCCCAGCACTCAGAGACAGAGGTAGGCAGGTGGATCTTTGAGCTGGAGTCTAGCCTGTTCTGTTCCACAGAGTTCCAGGACAGCCAGGGCTACAACAGAGAAACCCTGTCTTGAAAAACAAACAAACAAACAAACAAACAGGCCACTGACACCCTTAGATACACGCTCCCACGCAATGTCACAGATGCAGATTTCACAGGGAGGAATAGTCTCTGGTTGTTTTAGTAAGAGTTCATCAGTCAAGGGAGCGTGGGAAAGCGAGTTTCATCTTTGTTCAGAAGAACACACTAACAGCTTCCATCCTGTATAATGTCAGATTCAAACATAACTCTTTGACCTTTTAAAATAACATTTTATTTACACATCTTGATTTTTGTTTTCCTGGAACATTTTTTTTTAAGACCTTCAAGTAGTTTGGAAACCTCTGCCCATCTGCTGCTTCCTCTGGCCACAGCCTTCCCGGGCATTTTCCCGGACCTGTGCTGGGGAGTGTGGCTCTCGTCTGTGTGGCAGGGCTGCTTGTGGATTGTAATGAAAGGAGGAGCCAGCTTTGGAAACGACTTCTGATTCTCTTAATTAGCATGCTACCACCCACCCCAGCTTCTGCAAGGTCAGATGGGCAAGACAAGTGGGGCTGAGCCCAGGACTGGAGCAGCGTAAAATGCGTTCTGGATAAAGTGGAAGCTCTGTGAGAGGCAGATCTGCTCCTGCCCTGGCCCCAGGTGCCTATGCGGCTCAGGCCTGAGGATCTGGAGAGCCGGGCTGCCCTCAGGAAGAGCCACGTAGGTCTGAGTACACTCATTCTGCAGTCACAGGTGTGGTTTTGGGAAATGCCACAGCACATTCCACAGAACTGGACAGTGGTCAGCAACACAAGCAACACTGTGACAACATGTCAGACGTTCAGGCCAAAGGGCGAGGTCCAATCAGGGAAAAAAAAAAAAAAGGAAGAAAGAAAACAGTCCTAAAGTGTGACACTTCAAACCTTTGGCTGATGATAAAGCAGAAAATTAAACTGAACTACACACTGCTGTCCTAACTGCCCAGGCTCTTCTAGAAGCCAATTCCCAACATGGTGTCCCTTCAATTCTGCTCAATTACTATGCTACTAGTTATCTGCTGTTCCTGGTTCTAGAGAGGCACATAACACCTCTGTTGGTCACAGTAAGTATCATATGGCTGTTTGATATGCTGCAGCCAGGGTCTGGAGTAAGAGGCAGCCTTTGCTTATATCCTAAAAGCGAAACTGAAAATCTGCCCACGCTCCCTCTAGCTGCGACCTGAACATGCGCCTGGCCTGTAAATGGTCAGTATACACTGACCCCAGCAACACAATCAGCTTGTCAGAGACCTCTCTCCAGGCTTGCCCCTTGCTGACTCCTGCTAGATGGAGGGTATTCTCAGTTACCTGGGCCCAAGAGAGCCAGGAAGGCTCTTCTTATTGGACAGGCACAGTCATCAAAAAGAGCTGTCACCATCTCCCCTACACTGGGTCGACTCCATCTGCCCAGTTCCTTGTTTTTCCTGCCCTCAAGCCAGGCAAGATGGCTGCTGAGGATAAGCCGGGGCCTGGTTTACAATCTAGCCTCTTCTCTGTGACAGTCAAGCAGCTCTTCAACTCCACAGAGGAAGGCAGGGATGGCAGGAGAGGTGATTGCTCTGCAGTGGGCAGCAGGCTCCTCTCCTGGAGGCAGGTGCTGTGCTTTAGTGCTAGGTACTGCTGCCTCTGAGGTCACGTCATGTCATCAACCTACCCTGGAACTCAACTGCAAGTGCTCCAACTGAATAAATACAACGGAAAACCACACAAGAAGGGGGGCCACCCGGCTGGAAGGCAGAATGGCCATGAGGTGTCTGAGGTCTGAGACTCACCACCTTGGGAAGCGCTGCCAATGCCACCCTCTCAGTCTCCTCACATCACACAAATGAAGGAGCCACACGACCGCAGTTTGTCCTCAGGCATACTTATTAGGGCCCACCCTCCCGCTCAGCAAAGGTCCCAGCACACCCTGCAGTGCCCAGGAAGTCTCGGGGACAAGTCTCTGAAGGTCACTTGCCCCTCTTGCTGCGGCCCTTCCTGGACGGCAGCTTCCCACCGGCCCCCGAAGAGGGCGGGTTGGGGGCCGAGGGGATGTTGATCTGCCCTTCCTGTATCTCCTGCCGCGTCTCTGCGGGCAGGTGGCTGATCTGCTGCTGTGTCTCCAGGTAGAACATGACATCGCGCAGCTGCTCCTGGATCTCAGTGATCTGCAGGTCCTTCTGGTCGCAGGTCTCCTTGAGCAGCCTCTCCTCTTCCTTCAGCCTGTTCTGGAGCAGCAGCTGGTTGGCTCGCAGACACTTGTTCAGCTCCTGCTCCTCCTGCAGCTCCGTGCTGAGCTTGGCTACTCTGGTGTTCAGCTGTGTGCACCTGGAGCCACGCAGAGGAAGACAGAGCTAGCCTCACCTGCTCCATGTCCCTTTCTGTTCCGGGACCTTGGAAGCCATTAGGGCAGGCCCCTCCCTGCCGAGCTCAGCAGCAGCAGCAGCAGCAACTCTGTCAGAGACATGGCCATGAGGAGGAAGCCACCAGGGAGGGAAGTGGCATCCTCTGAGACAAGTGCTCTGACCTCATGAGTTGCTAAAGGGGGGGGAAGGGTTCCAGAGTGGGGGCGCTCTACCCTCAATGCTCACTCTTAAGTGGAGAATTACACTAAGTGGAGAATCGAGACACTATATATAGCAGGTACCATTTTTGTGTACCAGAATGCCAAAGAAGTCAGGTATGGTGGCTCCACCTGTAATCCTAACACTCAGGAAGCTGAGGCAGGAGCAATATTTGAATTCAGGGATACAGGGGCTGGAAAGATGGCTCAATGGTTTAAGAGCACTGGCTGCTCTTCCAGAGGACCCAGGTTCAATTCCCAGCACTCACATGGCAGCTCACAACTGTCTGTAACTCCAGTTCCAGGGGATCCAACACCCTCACACAGACATACATGTAGACAAAACACCAATGCACATAAAATAGAAATAAATTAAAAAAAAAAAAAAAAGAATTCAGGGCTACAGCATGAGAGTCCATCCCGAAAGACCAAATCAAAGCTTGGCGCACGCCTTTAATCCCAGCACTCGGGAGGCAGAGGCAGGCGGATCTCTGTGGGTTCGAGGCCAGCCTGGTCTACAGAGCGAGCTCCAGGACAGGCAGGGCTGCACAGGAGACCCTGGGTGAAAACCAACAAAACCACCAAGATGAGGAACTGTGAAGGAAGACATGCAATGCTGACCTCTGGCCTCCACAGGCCCCCCCAACACGTGCACACACGTGCACACACGTGTACACAGACACACAAACGGCACGTTTTGTATTATACAACTGTCCACAATTAAAGATAAACATTAGACCAGCACTTTCGAGGCAGAAGTAGGGGGATCTCTGTGAGCTGGAGGCCAGCCTGGTCTACATAGTAAGACCCTATCTTGAGGGCTGGAGAGATGGCTCAGCGGTTAAGAGCACTGGCTGCTCTTCCAGAGGACCTGGGTTCAATTCCCAGCAACCACATGGTGGCTCACAACCATCTACAATGAGATCTGGTGCCCTCTTCTGGCCTGCAGGCAGAACACGGTACACATAATCAATAAAATAAATCTTAAAAAAAGAGAGAGAGAGAAACAACACTAAGGACCAAACACCCCTCTTAAAGTACCTTTATGTACTATATTATATGGTCACAAAAACAGTCTAGTCACCTTTACAGTGTAACTAAAACCTGGGAGGAAATCTTACCTCTTCAGTATTCGGGATCAAACCCAGGCCCTTGTGCATGTTGGGAAGTCGATCCGCCACTGACTTACAGGCTAGCCCCCGCCACCAGGAACACCCCACCTTGACTACAGCAGTGAGGAGTGTTCTTGTCATGCTGGTCATGGCTTTGTGCTCCATGCTTGGCATTATTAGGCCTGAGTCCTGTCCAAGGGAGGACCTGGGACATGGGCTTAGACAAAACCTCTTTCCTAACTGCCAGCTCTCAGCCAACATGGCTCTCAGAAACCGCAGGCAGAAACGGAAGTCACCTGCACACACGACAAGCACTCTTTGGATCGCGGCAGAGGGCAGGGTTCCATCTGGCACCCTACTCCTCAAGTGAAACCCCAATCTCATCTTTTTCATTTTCACATGTATTTCCTGAATGTGTGTGTACACACGTGCCAAGGTGCACACGTGGGGTCTGAGGACCACATGCATGGGAGGCAGTTCTTTCCTTTTACCACGGGAGTCTTGGGATCCAATAGAGGTGGTCAGGTTTGGCAGCTGAGCCATCTTGCTAGCCCCTAAGTACACAATGAGAAGTCGCTACAACTCTGCTCCAACTATAAAGAACCCCCCGAAAACCTACATGATGTACATGCTCAATACGGGGTGTGGCCAAGGAAGCAAACGTGCTTCTCTGTGAGAGCCCGTTGGCATGCGTGGTGCCAAGAACTGAGGGATACCTACTTTCTTTCCACAGACTGCTTCTCCTTCAGGAGGTCACTGAGCCTGAGCTCCAGGCTGTCACACTTCTCAATGGTCTCTTTAAACTTGGTCTTCATGTTGTTAATCTGAAAGTGCAATGGAGGTCAGGCAGAATCATATAGTTCTTGCGACACTACACCCCCTCCCCCGCCCGCCTCTGTATCCAGGACAACCCAAACTCAGAAAGTCAAGGTAAGCCACTTGGAAGGAATTGTGACAAAAAATTGTGAAAAACTAAATGAAAGACGTTCTTCTAGAATAAACAAGGACCAGGAGCTGCTGGATGCACAGGGAAGCTATCGAACAAACGAGGGCAATCCAGGCTTTGGAAGAGGGGAAGGGCTGCCCAAGGCCACAGCAGAGCCTCTCATTATTAACCAACAGCCCCCGTGTTCCTCCAGAGCACATTCCGGAAGTCATCTCCAAGAACTCGTGAAGAGCTGGGTTGCTACCCCCCACCTGCTATCGCCGCAGCACTGAGGAGGCTAAGACAGGAAGATGCCAAGAATACTCTGGGGTGCACAGTGAGTCTCAGGCCATCCTTAGCTGTCTCAATAAACCCAATAACTCAAAAACAAAAGAAAACAGTGAGACTGGATTCTACTAGTTTGGTTTGTTTTGTCCTCCAACTTACTGCTTTTTTCTGATGTGCCATGAAGCAGTATGAACTGCATGTTTGTCTGGGGTCAGTCTATAAGGCAATATATCTAGAGAACTAATTCATACTTCAGAGAACTAGAAAGAATGCAAGTTCTGGATGATATGGAGGTCAGGCAAAAGCAGTCCTACCAAGAGCCCACTGGAGTCTAGCTAGGGGAACATGGGACCGACCAACATGCGAAGAGCTGCAGAGCTGGGAGCTGCCTCAATTCCAAGTTTTAGAAACTGAGAGAAGGTGAGCGGAGCAGGGAAATAGAGGGGCCGGGCTGCTAGGCACCAGCATCCAGCAGCCTTTGTACCCACACCTCTCAGTAAGCGATGGCACAGGTCAACAAGCTTCTGAGGAAACACTCAGAGAAAGGCAAGGCAATGACCCAAGGCCACCCAGCTGCAGGATGGGGGATCCTGTCCAAAACCAAGCTTTAAACCTCTCTGAAGCTGAAGGCCCAAGTTTTATGTTCTCTGCTTGGGGCACATGTGACACCACCACACTGGGGTCATACTTTAGCCTTTCATTTTTGCCTTGCCTGATTTATCTATTTATTTATTTTGGTTTTTTGAGACAGGGTTTCTCTGTGTAGCCTTGGCTGTCCTGGAACTCACTCTGTAGACCAGGCTGGCTTCAAACTCAGAGATCTGCCTACCTCTGCCTCCCAAGTGCTGGGATTAAAAAGGTGTGCACCACAATGGGTGGTCCTTCTTACTCTGTAGCCTAGGCTGGCTTTCAAACTTGTCAAGCTTCCTGCCAAACCTGCCAAGAGCTAGATTTCAGGCATGACTACCAGGCCCAACTACTTCAACACTGTTTCCAGGTAAGAGACCACTAGACTCTCCAGCTGCTTTTCTGCTTCCCTGCCTTCCTCTGCAGAGCAGTGGAAGGTAGAATTAACATCAAAAGGACTCAAGTGCATTTTGGTCAATGAAAATATTAAGCTAAACATCTTTAAATCAAGATGAAAACTTTCTTTGAGAGGTCTTATGTAGCCCAAGCTACATTCAAACTCATGATGAAGCCCAGGATGGCCCTGATCTTCTGATTCTCCTGTTTTCTCTCCCCACATGCTGAGATTACAGGTGTGCCATTATGGCCATCTCTGGAGAAGGTCTTGGTGCTCCACAGACAGATGCTATGGTAACTAGGGTTAGTGTTTAAGAAACACCCCAAAGGGCTAGTGAAATGGCTCAGGGGTGTAGGTGATGGCTGCACAAAGCTGATGGCCTGAGTCAATGTCCAGAACCCACTTAAAAGTGGAAGGAGAGAACTAAAAGTTGTTATCTGACCTCTGCACTAGCATGCTTGTGTACACACACAATAGACACACACACACACATAGATACACATGTGCATACAACAGAAACAAGCTTCACAAAACAATAGATGTAGTACACTTTACTCCTACATCTACCATATTCTATGTAATAAAAATGCCAATTGTGATATATCAAATTGATTTTTATAGTTTATAACTGAAAGAAGTATGGATTTAAATGGAGCTAGAAATCTGAAAAGATGTATCTTCAGGGGTCCCATTTATGCCCACTGCCTAACTGTGTATTCTCTATACTCAGCCCCATGAAAACCAAAAGCCACACACGGGCTGGAGAGATGGCTAAGTGGCTAAGAGCATTGGCTGCTCCTCTAGAGGACTGGGGTTCAATTCCCAGTTAACAACTGTCAGTAACTCCAGTTCCTGGGGATTTGATGCCCTCTTCTGACCTCTCTAGACATCAGTGAAGCACATGCTGCACATGTGTATGTGTATGTGTGTGTGTGTGTGTATATGTGTGTGTGTGTGTGTGTGTGTGTGTGTGTGTGTGTGTGTGTGTGTGTGTGTATGTATATATATGTGTATATATATGCGGTCAAAACACTCATACACAAAAACCTAAAATAATTTTTTTCTTTTCTTTTTGTTTTTTTGAGACAAAGTGTCTCTGTGTAGCCCTGGCTGTCCTGGAACTCACTATGTAGACCAGGCTGGCCTCAAACTCAGATATCCACCTGCCTCTGCCTTCTGAGTGCTGGGATTAAAGGCGTGCACCACCACTGCCAAGCTAAAATAGATTATATTTTGAAAAAGAGAAAGGAAGCCAAGAGCTTTCACATGGCTCTGAGTGGCTGGCTGCTCCTATATCCGTGACGGGCTGAAATAAATCACACTCCCTCAAGTCTACAAGTGACCTGCAGGTTTCAGGCTTGGCTTATCACCCCTCCCCCAGCCCCACCACCTCCATGAATGTGTTATGAAGCCCACGAGTGAGAACCTGTCACTGTCCCCCTGCATGCTCTACTGCTTGGGGTGCAAATGGACAGAATGCCAGTCACAAAAGGACACTGCAGGACAAAAGGCTTGCATCAGCCATGAACTTATGGACAAATGACATCTGTCATTGGAAAACAAAGGCATCCTTTTCAAGTGCTGTAAGCTTTCACTGGGAGCTGCCCTGGCTCCAGTTCACTCCGACCTGAAAGCGAATTCCTTGGGGCTTCTCTTCCCCAGCCCTGACTTGCTTTTGCTGGCATGTCTTAGAGAATGTGGCTAATCCTGAGGAATCATACAAGGCAGAGAGGGTTCTGAGCTCAGTTCGATAGGGTCTGTGTGAAACAAGTTGGGTGGTCATGCTGGTAAAGCCACAAAAAAGTCATTAGTGAAGCTGCGACAGCACATGGCCTGGGGAGTCCACAGTGGGAGTGGCAGCTCCCGCTCTGCTCCCTGTGTGGCAACCACACCCTATGCAGGGCAGAAAGGCCAGTGTCCTCTGGGCCTCTGCACTGGCACCTCCACTGTCTGGAAGGCTGTAGCAAGAATTCCATCCATGACTTTTAACTAAAGATCACTCCAAAGCCTGATCACTCAAACACGGCTGTTTGAAAAGCCAATTCACACTGTTGCTAGGGCCCAGGGTGGCGGGGACTAAGTCACCAGTTGGGACCTTTAGAAAATTCAAAGACCTCATATACTGCTAAGAGAAGCAGCTGCTGGAGATCTCACACACACAAGCCCCAGGTGCACCTTTGTTCAAACCGTCTTCTCTGGAACTCTCAAGGTTCCTTGAACATGCTACAGACTAGGAGGAAATCAAACGTGCAGAGCGCAGGCCTCCTATATAGGTTTCTGCAAAACTCACATCACTTTCTATGCGTTGAAATCTAAAACCAAACCAAACCAACAAAGAACCTTGCTAAGAGCTCTCTGTCCTTGCAGGGAGGGGACCTTGGTTTAGTTCCGAGCACGCACTGTACTTCACAACCACACGCAGCTTCAGTTCGAGGGGTGCTTATGCCCTCTTCTGGTCTCCAAAGGCACTGTACACACAGACATACAATCAAACATCTTTTTTTTTTCCCCCGAGACAGGGTTTCTCTGTGAAACAGTTCTGGCTGTCCTGGAACTCACTCTGTAGACCAAGTAAGTGGCCTCGAACTCACAGAGATCCACCTGCCTCTGCCTCCCAAGCGCTGGGACTAAAGGCGTGCAACACCACGGCCTGGCCAATCAAACACTCATACACATAAAATCAAAATGAATCTTCAAAAATTAAAAAAAAAAAAAAAAAAAAAAAAAGGCTATGTGGCCTCAAACTTCTGGGCTTAAACAATCCTCCTGCCTCTGCCCCGTGAGTAGCCAGAGCTACAGGCTTAGGCCCCTATGCATGGCACATTTAACGGATCACTTAGTTAAAATGTGGTAACTGCAACCACGAATCAGTCATTCTCTAGGGTGACTACAAAAGCTCCATTTCTGCCTAATTTATTTCCCTCGGTTTACAAAGCCTCACAAGTCCACATCAGTTCCCAAAGGCACCGTTCCCAAGCTGACATGCCAGCGGCTGACCCATGTTGCAAAACCTTGTGAACACACTTGCATGGATTTTGGGTTTTACAGGAGAATCCTTGCCTGAGGACACTGGCAGGGAGCAGCAGGCTAGTCAGTCACCACTTTATGTTCTTAGTGGGACTGTGCAAAGCGCTAGCTCTGACTCAGGTGAAACACAAACTATCAAGACCCTTAAGTCTATCACCCAGTGAAGATTCTGTCCTGGGCCCTCTCCCGCTGTCAGGTGCCCTGCCATGGCATTTCAGTCACCAGGTCAGACACTCACCTCCTCTGCCGTGTCCTTCTCTATGCGAACGATCTTGTTTTCCCAGTATATCCGCTGCGATTCCAGCTGGCTTGTCAGTAAGTACGAATACTAGAAGCAGAACAAACACCAGATGTGAGCCATCACCAATACTGAGACCCAGTGAACATGACCCATGACAGCCAGTAGAACTGCGTGCAGAGTCAAGGTCTCTACAGCACAGTGCTGCTCCTACACTCACAACAAACCAACTCAAGTTAGAAAACTCCTAAGACAAACAAACAAAACAGAACAGCTGCTGGGCCGTGGTGGTTGAATCCCAACACTCCGGGCTAGCCAGGACTACATAGTCATTATTACAACCAGAGAGAGACAGAATGGAGAGGTGGCTTTGCTTGTTGCCCAAACTGCCTCACACTTGAGGCACTGGCCACCTTCCAACCTTATCAGCTGGGGACTTGAGGCTTATACTCCCATGTCAGGCTCATCAGAATCTGTTACACTTGGGTTCAACCCAGGTCAGCAGGCACTGGGCCAGAGGTAGAGTGGAGCTTGCAATCTAGCTGGGAAAAATCCAAGAATCCAAATTTACATATATATGTAAATCTTGTTGCTGTTATTTTTTGTTTTGTTTTGTTTTTGAGACAGGGTTTCTCTATGTCCTGGTTGTCCTGGAACTTGTGTTGTAGACTAGGCTGGCCTTGAACTCACAGAGATTCGCTTGCCTCTGCTCGCCTCTGCCTCCTGAGTGCTGGGATTAAAGGTATGCACCACTATACCCAGCTTACTTTTATGTTTTTATAATGCAGTATGTGTGTTCTATTCATGTGTGTGCAAGGGGAGGGCAGAGTCAGCCTCCAGTATCGTTCCTCAGGCACTGTCTACTTTAGTTTTGAGATAGGGTCTCTCACTGACCTAGGACTTACCAAGCAGGCTAGGCTGGCCGGCCAGTGGGTCCCAGAGATCTGTCTGTGTCCATCTCCTCAGTACTAGGATTACAACCTTGCACCACCACTTCCATTCTGTAAAAACTTCAGGTTCTGGGGACTGAACTCAGCCCCTCATGTTGGCATGGCAAGCACCTTGATAGACTGAGCTATCTTTCTAGCCTTTTTGTGTTTGTTTTGTTTTGTTTTTTAATTTATGTGTATTGGTGTTTTGTCTACATTCATGTCTTTGTGAGAGTGTTGGGTCCCTGGAACTGGAGTTATAGACAGTTGTGAACTGCCATGTGGGTGCTGGGAATTGAACCTGGATCCTCTGGAAGAGCAGCCAGTGTTCTTAACTGCTGAGCCATCTCTTCAGCCCATCTGTCTTAGGGTTCCTATTGCTGTGAAGAGACACCATGACCATAGCAACTCTTAGAAGGAAAACATTTAGTTGAGGTGGTGGCTTATAGTTCAGAGGTTCAGTCCATCATCATCGTCATAGCAGAAAGCATGGCAGTGTACAGGCAGACATGGTGCTGGCTACATCGTGATCAGAAGGCAATAGGAAGTGGACTGTCTCACTGAGCGTGGCTGGAGCATAAATGAGACCTCAAAGCCCACCTCCACAGTGACACACTTCCTCCAACAAGACCACACCTAATCCAAAAAAGCCACACCTCCTAATAGTGCCACTCCCTTTGGGGCCATTTTCTTTCAAATCACCAAACCAGGCCTTTTTGTCTTTTTGATACAGGGTCTCATATACCCCAGACTGGCCTCAAATGTCCAGTATGGCCTTGAGCTCTTGATCTTCCTACCTTTACCTCTTTAGTGTGAATACACATTTATACAAACTTATTCTAGTCTAGACAATTTTTAAAATGGAAGCTTTGAATTTATATAAAATTTGGGGCTAGAGTGGTAGCTGAGTGGTAAAATGTGGGCTTAGCATGCGTGAGACTCTGGGTTCCACACTCGGCACCCTCCCCACATGTAACTCTAACCCACTCCTCTGTCTCTGCACCCCCACTGGCAGCACTCACGACAGCAGTACTGACCGGAAGGTTTACTCACAGACCACCCTGACTGGACTGTGAACTCTGGAAATGAGGACTGTATTTGGTCTCTGTATCTCCACAGCCCTGTGTGGCCACGGGTAGGGAAGGATGGTGGGCTGCAGTAGACCGCTAGGACTTCAGGGAAGAGGCTGTTGACAGTCATGAGACCAGCCCAGGGCCTCTTCATCTCAAGGACAACAAAGATGCCGGGTGTGGACACAGCAGGATAGGGCCATCGGTGTTCAGCCCTGTAGGCAAGGCCAGGTGTGGTGGTGTGTCTGAATAGGTCAGCCTAGCCTACATAGTGAGTTCTAGAACAACCACAGCCTGGTACCAACTGAGGTACAACCCTACCCTGACAAGCTATTTCTTAAATATAAAATGTGGATGACACCATTACTCAGAGTTCATATGGAAGAGATACTTATTCTAAAGACTTAATGTCAAGGGTTTGATCATTTCTGTAAATGTATTAATTTATTAAGAATACAAGCCTTACAGAAGGCCACTTTTCTACATTTATCAGAACTATAAAGTCCACAAATGAGGGGCTGGAGAGATGGCTCAGCAGATAAGCACACTGGCTGCTCTTCCAGAGGACCCGGGTTCTATCTCCAGCATCCACAAGTGGCTCAAACATCTACAATTCCAGCTCAAGGGCATCTGAGGCCCACTTTTGAGCTTCTCAGGCACCAAGCATGCATGTAGTCCAGACATACCTGTAGACATAACACTCACACACATAAAATGAAAAAAAAAAAAGATCTCAAAAAGAGTCTACTAATGAGCCAATTTCCAAACATCCATTTCCTCTGATAGTCAGGGGTTTGGGTTAGTTTTCCTGGTTAAACTTTTTGTTGTTTTTTTTGAAATTTACATAAAATAGACAGGAGGATCATTAGTCTGAGGTCAGTAGGGGAGTACTTGACAAGACCCAAGACCCTGTCTTGGAACCAAACCCAACCCACTGATCGGTGGTGGTGGTGGTGGTGGTGGTGGTGGTGGTGGTGCACACCTTTAATCCCAGCACTCGTGCAAGCCCCACCCACAGGAAACAACAAAATATTACTAACCACATGAGTGACAGGACGCTCTGTGTGTCCAACAGTTCTGTGGGAGGACTGTCTGCTACAGACAGGGTTTACCGCTCAGAAGAAAACTGAGTGTGCTAAATGTGCTGTTCCTTCAAACACATCAACTCAGAAATGGCTTTAACTACGAGCCCCAACTCACAAAGCACACACATTAAACACACCGCTGCGCATAGACAACTCTAGGGAGGAAGGGCGCTGCCGGGGTTCACTCTGACCAAGTCTACTGCGTCCAGCTTCTGTGGAGTCACTGACAGGAACAGCCTACCTTTCGGCTTTATTGCTGCTGCAGAAGATGACCTGACTTGCCTTAACTAATGAGCCAGAACTCAAGACAACCAGGAACATCACACTGAAAACAGTGAGGCACAGGGAAGCTTAACCTTCAAAACAGAAACATTTTAGAAATTCTTCGAAGAAATGACAGAACTGAAAAAAAAATTCCACACAGGGCAGATGACTGTATTAAAAGGTCAAAGCGCCTTTCTCCAGAGAGCGGAAAAAGGCAGCAATAGCGGTTGCTAGGCGACAGCTTACAGCATCTCACCTCTAACTGTAAGGCGTCTATCTTCTCTTCCTGGCAGGTGTCGCCCTCACACTCGTACTGAACGATCTTTCCATCCGTCTTGCTCGCAACCAGTCGATGGACATAATTATCTAAGACAGAAGAGTTGCCAGAAGCGGCTTCTTAGGAGTGAAAAGTTCTCTGCTCTTAACTCTTGAGACATTTTTGTTTTTAGAAATCTAAATTAAGCATGGTTGCACAGGCCTTTAATCTCAGCACTTGGGAGGCAGAGGCAGAACTCTGAGTTTGAGGCCAGCCTGGTCTATAAACAGAGTTTCAGGACAGCCAGGGCTGTTAGACAGAGAAACCTTATCTCAGAGAAAAAACAAACAAACAAACAAAAAACAAAAACAAAAACCCTCTAAATTAAATGATGTATGATTTTTCTTTAAAAATGGGTCAAATTATTTAAACTTTAGAAAGTGAGAGAGGTCAAGAACAGACATCTAAACTCTCTCTGTAACTCTCAATCCCTAAGCATGGCACCCTCAGAGATAACCACGCAATCTGAGTTTGCTTAGCTGTCAAGAGATGACATTTCACGATGTGAGGGAGTTTCCACAGCAAAGAATCGAAATCAGAAAATGATCATGCACTCACCTCCAGCATAGTCCCAGACCCGATGGTTGGTAAGCTGCATGGCGTATGTGTGCTGAGTTTCCTCAAAGTGCTTGTAAGCATGCCGACTTACATACCGTCCACATCCTATGTGGCCACATATTAAACAAATCCAGAGGTTCTGCCAAGAGAGGAGATCCGAATTAGTGATGGGGGAGGGGAGGCATGTGACCTAGCTCACATGGCTTGGAAAAAAGATGACTCAGGAGCTGTTTCCACAGCCTTCTGAATACGAAGGTTCTAAAATCCAACCTTCCAGGGTCCTTATTGGTCTACCATTTCCCCTCCCTGGCTTCTGGAGAGTCCGAAGTACAGATTCACAAATGATTGGCAAGCATCTCAGTCTTTTCAAGAATCTGAGCTAGAGAGATGGCTCAGCACTGGCTGTTCTTCAGAGGATCTGGGTTCAATTCCCAGTACTCGCAGGGTAGCTCACAACTATCTGTAACTCCAGTTCCAGGGGCTACAACACCCTCACACAACGTGAAGGCAAAACATCAGTGCACATGATATAAAAACAAATAAATTATGAAAAAAGAATCTGTGTGCTCACACACTTGAGTACAGACAACAAAGAATTAGTCCACAAAGACTCTAAGCTGCACTGGGCAGAAGAAAATCCCAGACCATGAAAGCTTCTCGTTGTCCCCTGTCACCAGCAGTACTTACTTCCTGGACACCACACTCAAAACACTTGTTTTCTTCCACTGGCTCTGGCGTTTGACAGTATCGGCAAACAGGACACCTGTCCAGGACACAGAAGATAAGGCTGAGATTATATACAGATGTTGAAACCTGGACTATTGCCGGGCGGTGGTGGCACACGCCTTTAATCCCAGCACTCAGGAGGCAGAGACAGGGTGAGTTCGAGGCCAGCCTGGTCTATAGAGCGAGATCCAGGAAAGGCGCAAAGCCGCAAAGCTACACAGAGAAACCCTGTCTTGAAAAACAAAACAAAACAAAAACAAAAAAAAAAAAAAGAAAGAAAGAGAGAAACCTGGACTATAAACCCTCCCCTCTCGATGCTTTTTCTCTTTTTAAAAATTTATTTACTTAACTGACACGGGATTGTTATGTGATATACATAATCAATAAAATATTGATGTATCCCTGTACGCCAGAAGAGGGCACCAGATCTCATTATAGATGGTTGTGAGCTAGCATGTGGTTGCTGGGAATCGAACTCAGGACCTCTGGAAGAGCAGCCTGTGCTCTTAACTACTGAGCCATCTTTCCAGCCCAGACTCCTGAGTTTTTATTGATAAATAATAATTAAATGCATCACAGGGTCTCACTACAAAGTCCTGGCTGGCTTGGAGCTGGCTATGAAGACCAGGTTAATGTTGAACTCACAGAGAGAACAGCTTGTCTCTGATCCCAAGTGCTGGGACTCAAGATTTGAGCTACTATATCCAGCCAATTATTTTTGTTGTTTTTTTGAGACAGGGTCTCACCATGTAGCCCTGGCTGACCTGGAACTTGCTATGCAGACCAGGTGGCCTAGAACTTACAGAGATCTGCCTGCTTCTGCTTTCTGAGTGTTGGAGTTAAATGCATTTGCAACTGTACCTTGCTCCCAGCCAATTTTTTAAAAAAGGTTTATTTTTATTTGTATGTGTGTGCTCATCAAGGCCAAAAGAGAGGGCATCAGATCCCCTGGAGCTGGGGTTATAAGTGGCTATGAAGAGCCCAGCATGGGTACTGAGAACCTAACCTGGGTCTTCAGCAAGAGCAACCAGTGTACTTAACTGCTGAGCTACCTTTCAGACATACACATGACACCCCTCCCCGCTCAGGTAGTCCAGTCTGAAGATGACCTTTAACTCCTGATCCTCCTGCCTCCACCTCCCAAGTATTAGTATTACAGGTGTGTGCCACCATGTTCAACTGGGGTAACCCTTTTCTATTATACTCAAGATGAAGTAATATTCAATACTGGTCATCAATATATTTTGTTCGATGGGTCAACGTGACAGCAAGTGGGATACAGTTGTGGTTGACTGAACTGCCACCAAGAATGTAGCAAGCATCCATTCACTCTTTGGCCAGGTCATGAAGAGCAGGTTTGAAAAGGCTCAGGCAGAAGGCCAAGGTCCTGCCTTGGCAAGGAGGGAGCTAAAGGTCATCTGACTTCTTTAGTGCTGAAGAAGATGGGCAGGTGCAGTGAGCATGCCTGTAGGGCCAGGACTCAGGAGAGAGGCAGGAGAACTCCATAAACTCAAGGCTAGCCTTGGCTACATGAGTGCCAGATCAGCTGGATTTAGATGGTAAGGGCTTGTTTTTGTTTTTGTTTGTTTTTTTTTTTTTTTGGTTTTCTGAGACAAGGTTTCTCTGTGTAGTTTTGGTTCCTGTCCTAGATCTCGCTTGTAGACCAGACTGGCCTCGAACTCAGAGATCCGCCAGGCCCTGTCTCCGAGTGCTGGGATTAAAGGCGTGTGCCACCACCGCCCATTGAGCGTATTATATGCACCTTGTGAAGCAGTGCCCATGGAGGGCAGAAGAGACGACTGAATTCTCCGGAACTGGAATTACAGCCCGTTGTGAGCTGTTCAACACGGATGCCGGGAACCTAACCCGGGCTCCTGCAAGACCAGAAGTGCTCGTAACTGCCAAGCATCTCTCCAGTTCCCTTTTGCTTTTGAAATAGGTCTCATGTAGCCTAGGCTAGCCTCCACCTTTCTATGCAGCCAGGGGTGACCTGAACGTGGGTCCTCCAGCCTTCAGTTCCCTAGTACTGGGATGCACCATACATCTGGTTTGGAATGGAGCCCAGGGCTTCCTGGTTAGAGCTTGCCTAGCTTCCATGCTAGTCAGGGATTCACCAACTGAACTTTATCTCTAGACCTGAGACCTTGTTTCAATTAAAACAACAGATAGACAGGGACTGAGAGTTTGGTAGCAGAACTGTGGTTAGCAAAGGGGGGGAGAGGGCGAGAGAGAGGGGAGAATGAGTAAAAAAGACAGGAGGAAGGCAGGGAAGGAGGGAGGAAAAGAGAAAGGGAGAAGGAAGGGGGAGAGAGAGAGAAACTGGGAAGTAGTGACAGAAATGGCTCCTGGAGGGCTGGAGAGATGGCTCAGCGGTTAAGAGCACTGGCTGCTCTTCCAGAGGTCCTGAGTTCAATTCCCAGCAACCACATGGTGGCTCACAACCATCTCTAGTGAGATCTGACATCCTCTTTTGGCATAAAGTCAATAGAACACTCATATACATAAGATAAATAAATAAATCTTAGAAAAAAGGAGTGGCTCCTGGATTAGACAGAGCAGCTGCCACAGGTAGACAGTGGCTTCCTGTGACCCTTCTGCCCGGGTGGTGGCTGTAGCAGAGACTGGACAGGAAAACAAACTAATACCAAATTCTGATTCTGACTAGGTCATGTACCAGAATCTAGGGGAAATATTCAAAACTCTTGTAGCGCACAGTGAGTACATTTCGACATTCCACACCATCTATGAAAACATCAAGTGTATTGAAGGACTGATGCTCCTGCCAAAATCCAGCTGCCATTGCCTCGGCCTGCCTGGAATTAAAGGCGTGGCTGCAGGGCTTGGCTTCCACTTCTTTATTGTGTGGGCGGACCATTCTGTAGCCCAGCTGCCCTGAAACTCCTTAGCTTCCCCTCTCCAACCCAAATTATGGAATTACAGGTGTGGCCACTTCAGCTTTTGAATCGATCTACTTAATTGTGTGGAGGTAAAAGGACAGTTCTGTGGAACTGGTGCTCTCTGTCCACAATGGGACCCCTGGGGATCAAACTCAGGCATCAGACTTGATCAAGTGTCTTTACCCAGTGAGTCATCTTGCCAGCCCTAAGCTTCAACAATTTTTTTTATTTTTACCCTTTTCTTTCGCTTTTTAAAGACAGGGTTTTTCTGTGTAACACTGGCTGTCCTGGAACGCCCTCTGTAGACCAGGCTGCCCTCGAACTCAGAGATCCACCTGTCTTTGCCTCCTAAGTACTGGATTAAAGACAGGTGCCAGCACTGCCGACTCATTTTTATTCTGTGGGTGTCTGTGTATGTATCCACATGTATACGGGTGCCTACAGGGGCCAGAAAAGGGTTCTGTTCCCCTGAAGCTGGAGTTACAAGCGTTTGTAAGCTACCCAGTGCACTGGGACCCAAAATTGGGTCCTTTGCAACAGTAGCAAGCACTCTTCATTGCTAAGTCATCCTTCTCTCGCCCCCCAAAACTGTAACTTGTCATCCTCCTGACTCTACTACCCAACTTGCTGTGACTACAGGCTTGCAGGACTACATGTAACTCGGTCTCCCGCGCCCCAATTATGCATCTGTGTGGGTCTGTCAATACACATATCTGTATGTGTGTGGAGGAGAGGACAACTTTCAGGAGATCGTTTCCTCCTCTCACTAGCTGGCTCCCAGGACAAAGTCAGGCTGTCAGGTGTGGAAGCAAGAGCCTTTACCTCTGAGCCATTATATGGCCCTACTGGGCTAGGACCTATGGTGTCCAGTCACAACACTGCACACTGTTCCTTCCTCATACCTGTTGAGGCTGTGCTCTCACATATAATCACACATCCTGGGTGCACGGGCACACACAAATAAAAAAAATAAGCAAATAACAATTTCTACGGGAACTGAGAGAGGCAAGGAAAAACATCAAGGTCTTGTCCCAATCGCAATCCCAGCTTTGCAGAGACTAGGAGTGTCTGCTGATGGTTACTTTGAATTCTGGAAAGGGCAGCCCCTGCACTCACGTGGTGTCATCCCAGCGCTGCAGACACTGGCTGTGGAAGCTGTGGTTGCATAGGGTGGTGAGGATGCCATTCACAGACTCGTCCATTCGCTCCAGACAGACCGTGCACTTGGGGAGTTCCGTCAGGTCCATCACAGGGAGGCTGGCGCCCTACAGGAAACATCTGGTTAAGCCCCACCCTTCATCCTCTACCATCTTGTTTAAACAAGAGAATTCCTGTTGCTTTTATTGTTCATTTTTGGAGACAGAGTCCCACTCCAGACCAGGTTCACTGGAACTCTAAGCAATCCTCCTGACTCAGCTTTGCAAGGCCTAAGATTAGAGGTGTGAGGCATATCTGGCATCTGCTGCTTTTTCTTTTTTTAAAGGGAGATTTTTTTTTTTTCTCCACGAGGTAGTAGCGCATGCCTTTAATCCCAGCACTCGGGAGGCAGAGGCAGGCGGATCTCTGTGAGTTCGAGGCTAGCCTGGTCTACAAAGCAAGTTCCAGGAAAGGCGCAAAGCTACACAGAGAAACCCTGTCTGGAAAAAACAAAAAAAACCAAGCCAAACCAAACAAACAAACAAACAAAAAAAGACCCCAGCACTCAGGAGGCAGAGGCAGGCAGAGCTCTGTGAGTTTGAGGCCATTTTGGTCTACAGAGTAAGATCCAGGACAGCCAGGGCTCTACATAGAGAACCTGTCTCAAAAAAAAATTTTTTTTTTTTTTTTACATGTATTGGTGCCTTACTTGCACACGCCTTGTTACCACATATGTGCAGTGTCTATGGAGGCCAGAAGAAGGCATTAGATCCTCTGGAACTGGAGTTACAGAGGGTTGTGAGCCATCATGTGGGTGCTGGAAACTGAACTCAGGTTCTCTGCAGGAGCAGCAAAAGCTCTTAACCTCTGATCCATCTCTCCAGCCCCTTGTAAATCTTGCTTCTTACTTGTCTGTTTTGGACGTATGGTCTTGTTAACTCAGGCAGGCCTCAAGTTTCCTAAGTAGTTGATGATGACCTTGATGTCCTAATCCTCTTGCCTTCACCTTTTTAATTCTTAAAAATCAATTTATTTATGTCTGTGTCTGAGTGTATGTGTGTGCTCCATGTGCATGCAGAAACCTGTGAATATCAGAAGAGGACTGGAGTCACACAAGGTTGTGAGCTGCCATGTGCATGCTGGGAACCTGAACCTGTGTCCTTTGAAAGAGCAGTCAGCACTCTTAACTGCTTCAGTCCCAAGTCTCTACCTTGTCTGTTTGTTTTTTGAGACAGGGTTTCTCTGTGTAGCTTTGGAGCCTGTCCTGGAACTCTTTCTCTAGACCAGGCTGGCCTCGAACTCACAGAGATCCGCCTGCCTCTGCCTCCCGAGTGCTGGGATTAAAGGCGTGAGCCACCACAGCCCAAGTAAATTTGTATGTATGTATGTATTTATTTACTTTAGATAGCTCGTGCTTGTGTGTGTGTTTGCACTCACACGTGTGTATCTACATGCATGTGGAGGTCAAAGGACAACTTTCAGAGGATGGTTCTCTCCTTAATCCATGTGGGTCTCATGCACTGAACTCAGGTCACTCAGCCTTGTAGTAGCAAACACTTGCTCAGTCTGTGAAGCCCTAGCTGTCCTGGAACTCAATCTGTAGACCAGATACTGGCCTTGAACTCACAAAGATCCACCTGCCTCTGCCTCCCGAGTGCTGGAATTAAAGGCATGAGAATGCCTGGCTTTAAGGTCTCCTTGCAAAAGAAGGAAATCTTACAGCATCAGAGAGGCTCTCTGGCCTCAGAGCCGAACTTCCTATTTCCTATAGATGACCAAGAGAGCCATTATTACATAGGCCAGCCTCGGTGGGGGTGGGGGTGGGCATGGTGGGAGGGCAAGGGTAGGGGGTGGGCTGTTCCACTACAGATGAGAGCCAGGGCAAGTAGACAGCAAGACTGACCCTTAGCACTCAGGATGCAGAGGCAGGAAGATTTCTATGAGTTCAGGGTCACCCTGGTCTATATAGTGAGTTCTAGGATAGCTAGGGCTAGCTACACAGTGAGACCCTGCCTTTATTTAAAAAAAAAAGGCTGAGCATGGTGGCATATGCCTTTAATCCCAGCACTTAGGAGGCAGAGACAAGGTGGATCTCTGTGAGTTCAAGGCTAGCATGGTCTATACAGTGAGTTTCAGGAAAGGCAAGGCTATATATAAAGAACTTGTTTAATAAAAAACAAAACCCAAACAAACAACAAATAAACAAAAAAAAAAAAACAAAAACCCCCCAAACAAAAAAACAATCCAAACACACACACACACACACACACACACACACACACACAAAAAGGAAGGAGACTAGGGTTAATATTTTGAACAAAAATGCTTCTTTCTGCTCCAAACAGTGTCCCACTGTTCTGGGACAGTCTCCACGGTGCAGATTCTTCTGCTAAGTCTAAGTTGGGGACAGGTCTTGTTACATAGCTCTAGGCTGGCTTCCAACTCCCCAGTCCCTTGCCTCTCTTTTCTGAGTGCTGAGGCAACACGTATGCGCCACCACACCTGTTTTCTACATTTTAAAAATGAGATATAGCCGGGCAGTGGTGGCGCACACCTTTAATCCCAGCACTCGGGAGGCAGAGGCATGAGGATCTCTGTGAGTTCGAGACCAGCCTGGTCTACAGAGTGAGTTCCAGGACAGGCTTAAAGCTACACAGAGAAACCCTGTCTCAGAAAACCAAAAAAAAAAAAAAAAAAAAAAAAAAAGGAGATATAATTCTCCATTTTGTTTTTTTAAGCAGGGCCTTGCAACGTAGCACGTTAGCTTTGACCTTGCCATACTACCTGTGAACTCATGCTCCCCCGCCCGCACCCCACCTCAGTCTCCTGAGTGTTAAGATTCTGCATTTAAACCCGGTGGCTTTTAGAACAGCTACACCAATGTTTTATTGTGCCCAAAGCACCACCATCTAATTTGTCAACATTCCTTCACCCCAAAAGAACCTCCACCACTGTTAGCTGGTCCCTCCCCATTCTGTTTTCTCCAGACTCCAGAACCAGTTTTCTGTCTCTCCTCTCAAGCTCCACAGTAAGGCCTTTCTGGAGGTTTCTACAAACATCTTAACAGTCGATCTTACACCAATCAGCAGCACTTCTTGTGAGGTCTAGGAAGCCTTCACACTTACATCTTCAGATTTCAGCACTTCAGCCCTTTCCACATAGACCAGCTGGCAAACGTCATCTTCAATGGAGTTGAACTGGCGGCCGTTGCATGCCATGTAGAAGCTATCGGCATCAGCCTGTGCACACCGATGGGGAGAGGCAAAAATAAAGGGCGGTCATGGAAGATGCTCTCCCCACTCCCCTACTCCCCCACGTTTACAGTCAGAAAAGAAGGAAAGTAGAAGTGGCATGCCCTGGAGCCAGAGTCAACAGAGTTCTGCACCTCTGTCTGTAGGCTTGGCCTCCAAGGCAGAAGGCACCGCTGTGTGCTGAGCAGAGCTGTGCACTGCTAGCATTCAACCAGCCACACACAGCCAACACATGCCCGGGTAGCTCTTTCCACTCTAGCCATCATTTGTGTGGCAGTTGAGAGAAGACACTTCTTACAATTCTGGAACTAAACATAACTGATGACAGTCACCGAATTCTTAAAAAAACAAAAACAAAAACCAAAAACCAGCCAGGGGGTGGTAGCGCACACCTTTAATCCCAGCACTTGGGAGGCAGAGGCAGGTGGATCTCTTTGAGATCGAGGCCAGCCTGGGCTACAGAGGGAGTTCCAGGACAGCTAGAGAAACTTTGCCTCAAACAAGCAAGCAAGCAAACAAGCAAACAAAAAACCAAACTAGCAGCCTTGTTAAAGAATAGGCCCAGTGGATGAAATCCAGCTCCTCTTCAGTAAACAGAATGAGAACAACACAAGCTGGCTAGATGAACACCCCACTAGGAAGGTGCTGCACAAGCCAGGGCTCCTAGCACAGGACAAGGTGTCCGAACTGGTGCTGGAGAGAGTGCGCAGCTGTTAAGAACACTGGCTGCTCTCCCAAAGGTCCAGGGTCCAGTTCCCCACATGGCAGTTTACAAGCATCTGTAACTCTAGCTCAGGAACTCTGACGCCTTCTTCTAACCTCCATCACCAGGCCCCCACGGAGGACATACACATATATGTAATAAACATATACACATATAATTAAAAAATCAGGCAGTGATGGTGCATACCTTTAAATCCTAACACTAAAGAGGCAGGCAAATCTCTGAGTTCGAGGCCAGCCTGGTCTCTAGAGTGAGTTCCAGGACAGACAGGACTACAAAGAGAAATTTTGTCTCAAAAAAATAAAAAGAGGTCCAAGACTAGCCAGCCTTTTACATACTGAGCTGTGTTCTGTTGTGGTGGAGTCTAGATAGAAGAGAGAGACAGCAAAGGAAAAGCAAATCAAACCCCTGGCTCAGGCATAGTGGAAAGCAACAAGACAACTCCAGTGGTTTTTTGTTTGTTTGTTTGTTTGTTTGAGACAGGGTTTCTCTGTGCAGTCCTGGCTGTCCTGGAACTTGCTCTGTAGACCAGGCTGGCCCTGAACTCACAGAGATCTCCCTGCCTCTGCCTCCCGAGTGCTGGGAGTAAAGGCGTGTGTTACCACTGCCTGGCCTTCTTGAAAACAAGTTTTTGCACCGGGAGGTGGTGGTCGCTGCGCAGGCCTTTAATCCCAGCACTCGGGAGGCAGAGCCAGGTGGATCTCCATGAGTTCGAGGCCAGCCTGGGCTACAGAGTGAGTTCCAGGAAAGGTGCAAAGCTATACAGAGAAACCCTGTCTCGAAAAACCAAAAAGAGTCATATAAAAAAAAAAAAGAAGAAAGAAAACAGTTTTTAATTCCACTCCAGTGATGTAATCGCATGGTGGATTCTTAACTTATTATTTTATGTGTAAGGGTGTTTTGCCTGTATGTGTGTGCACCATGTGCCTGCAGTGCCTGGGGAAGCCAGAAGAGGGCATCTGACTCCCAGTAACTAGTTACAAACGGTTATGAGCTGCCATATGGTTGCCAGAAACTGAACCCAGATCTTCTCCAAGAGCAGCCAGTGCTCTTAACTGCTGAACCTCTCTCTAGGCTCACATTTTGGATTTTTGGTTATTTATGTTTTCTTCATATAAGCCAGTGAACTGAGCCCTGAGAAAGGATGGTCAATTTTGATATATATAGTCCCACCCTAGCCTCTTGAGTTCGGAGACTGCAGGTGTGCACTACCATACCAAGCAAAACAGGTTTGCTATTGTTTCATGGATTTGTGGAGCCTAGGCTGGCATCAAATTCCTGATCCTCTCCTATTCTGAGATTATGGGCATCTACCACCATGCTCAGCCAAAATGTCCCTCTTTCTCAAGTGACACTATCCACAGCTGATGTCTCCAATGTGAACACACTGGCATCCTTTTTACAATGCAGCTATTAAAAATGCAGGCTGGAGACCCTTTCTCAAACAAAACAAAACAAATCTGCACTGTGCAAATGCTGCATGGGACTAGGTGAGAGGGATGCGCCGGGGAAGTTGAGGAAGAGGGATAGAGTCTGAGGGCAGCTGGGCGGTGGTGGCGACACACTCAATTAACTCCAGCACTTGGGAGGCAGAGGCAGAGGCAGAGGCAGAGGCAGAGGCAGAGGCAGAGGCAGAGGCAGAGGCAGGTGGATCTCTGAGTTCGAGGATAGCCTGGTCTACAGAGTGAGTTCCAGGACAGCAAAGGCTACACAGAGAAACCCTGTCTCAAAAAACCAAAAAAATTAAAAAGGATTCCCAGGGCACCTGGGACTGGTGATCCACACAACTGGCAGATCTCCGATGGTTCAAAGGCAGACTGGAGTCTAGGACAGTGAAGACCCTGTCTCAAAAGGACAAACAACTGAAAAAAGATTTTGAGGACAGGGGCTGGACATGGATCAGAGGGAAAGAGCACGTGCTCTTTCAGAGCCCCCAGGTCTGATTCCCAGAACCCACGTGGTGGTTCAACCATCCTTAACTCCAGTTCCAGGGATCCAATGCCCTCTTCTGAGCTCCAAGGACACTGCACACACATGGTGCACAACCTACATACAGGCAAAACATTTATACGCAGAAAATTAAATAAATCTAAATTTTTTTTTTTAAGTTTGAGGGCAGTCTTCATGACATCAGACTTTGTCTCAGAACAAGACAAAATGTTAGAATTGTATACAACCAAAAATTTAGCTGTGGTGGTGGCGCACGCCTTTAATCCCAGCACTCGGGAGGCAGAGGCAGGTGGGTCTCTGCGAGTTCGAGGCCAACCTGGGCTACAGAGTGAGTTTCAGGAAAGGTGCAAAGCTACACAGAGAAACCCTATCTCAGAAAAAAAAAAAAATTTAAAAAATTCCAACTTTTATTTTTTGCTGTTTAATTTTGCTGTTCCTTCATTAAAGACTGAATCTCCTGGAGGTCACACCACTGACTCCTCAATTTTCATGAACCTCCAATGAAAGCCAAGACAACAGGAGCCAGCAAGATAATGCAGAGGGTAATGGCACTTGCCACCAAGCCTATCAGCCTGGGTTCGATTCCTGAAACCCACATAGGAGGAGAGAACTGACTGCCACCAACACACACACACACACACACACACACACACACACAGAGAGAGAGAGAGAGAGAGAGAGAGAGAGAGAGAGAGAGAGAGAGAGAGAGAATGTAGATAGTTAGGGCCAACAGAAATCACAAACTATTGAGAAGACTTTTTAGTGTCTTGTAAAGAGGGGCGTGAGAACTGGGACAGCTGCCTGCAAAGGCACTCAAGCCGAGATCTTCACGGGACACATCTGATCTAACTTTGGGAGTGACTAGCTGGATCTTATCTGCACCTGTTCTGTGGGCCCCTTCAGTGCAGAGTCCTAAGTATACGAGTGAGTACACAGTTGTCAAATGGACTTTACAAAGTATGCCACCACCTGGGATATTAAAAATGTTTTTGGAGAGCTGGAGAGATGGCTCAACGGTTAACAGCACTGGTGGCTCTTCCAGAGGAACCAGGTTTGGTTCAACAACACATTGCTCACAGCCATTTTTAACTCCAGCTCCAGAGGAATGCGATGCCCTCTTCTGGTCTCCAAGGACACTGCACACAAGTGGGGCACAGGCGGATATAGGAGCAAAACACCCCCACACTGAGGCACTTTGGAGACAGTGGGCCAGTGGCTCTCTAAGCTGGTTAGACTTGGTAGCATGTGTAATGCGAAGAACAGTGATAACATCACAGGCCCAGTGATGACAGCTCTGTCCTCACCCTTCTGCACGCTAGGCAGGCAGTGTCTTGGTTGGTACCCCTGGAGGCATGAGAATTCTGTAGTCTTTGTTCCACAGGTGAGGAAATTGGCTGCAGAGAGGCTAGTGATTAGTTACACTGCTAGACATCAATAACCAAGATGGATGAGGCCACTTTTAGTCCCTAGGAGTGGGACACAAGTGTGGGTCAGGGGACACTCACTGTTTGCAAGTCACTAGTAACAGCAATTCTTTACAGTGTCTACAATTATGATTACCAGACACTACAAGGGAAAAGGCACAGAACTAAACTGGAAAATGTCTAAAAATGTACTAAGCCCAAATTTGACATTCAAGTTCATGCCTATAATCCCAGGTCAGGAGGCTGAAACCATGAGTGTGTTTGGGAGTTCAAGGCTAGCCTGGACTAAAAAGTGGAAAAAAAAAAAAGTGAATTCCATGGCATCATATATTCACAATGAGACCTTATCACAAATAAAATAAAACAATATTTTAAAAAATTATAAAATGGGGCCCAGGATGGTAGTACATATCTTTAAGTCCAACACTTTGGAGGCAGAGGCAGGTGGATCTCGGTGAGTTCGAGGCCAGTCTGGTCTACAGAGTGAGTTCCAGGACAGACAAGGCTACACAGTGAAACTCTTCTCTTAAAAAACCAAACCCAGCCAGGCGGTGGTGGCGCACGCCTTTAATCCCAGCACTCGGGAGGCAGAGCCAGGCGGATCTCTGTGAGTTCGAGGCCAGCCTGGACTACCAAGTGAGTTCCAGGAAAGGCGCAAAGCTACACAGAGAAATCCTGTCTCGAAAAACCAAAAAAAAAAAAAAAACCAAAACCAACCAAATAAACAAACAAAAAACCAATACACACACACACACACACACACACACACACACACACACAGACCAGTGAGATGGCTCAGCAGGTAAAGGCACCAGCTGTCAAGCCTCAAGCCTCATCATCCCTGGGACTCACACGGTAGATGAAGAAAACCACCTCCTGCAAGTTGTCCTCTGATCTCCACGTGTACCCAAACATGCAGACACATACTCATAAAAAATAAATAAACAGGCTGGAGAGATGGCTCAGCGGTTAAGAGCACTGACTGCTCTTCCAGAGGTCCTGAGTTCAATTCCCAGCAACCACATGGTGGCTCACAACCATCTGTAATGAGATCTGGTGCCCTCTTCTGGCCTGCTGTCATATATGCTGTATACATAATAAAAAAATAAAATCTTTAAAAAAAATAGATAAATAAACAAACTGTAATCTGTAAAAGCTGTATATAGGGGCCAGTGAGATGGCTCAGTGGGTAAAGGCGCTTGCCCCCAAGTCTAACAACCTGAATTCAATCCCTGTTATCTCCCTCTGGATTCTTGAACAAGGGAGCCCATGTCATGAGTTCCCTTTTACCCACAAACCTCAGTGACCCATCAGAGTGGCAAGAACAAATGACCTGTCACACACACATTCGTAAACTAGGATGGGGCAGTTTATCTGGAGGAAACCGTTGACCCCAGAAGTAAGAGAAGTTAATTTTTCACAAAGTAAAACCTCGTCAGATTTCAATGGACAAATATCACAGTATATAAAAAAAACACAAGCCGGGCAGTAGTGGTGCATGTCTTTAATCCCAGCACTCGGGAGGTAGAGCCAGGCGGATCTCTGTGAGTTCGAGGCCAGCCTGGTCTACAGAGGGAGATCCAGGACAGGCACCAAAACTACACAGAGAAACCCTGTCTCGAAAAACAAATAAACAAGCAAAACAAAACAACAACAAAAAAAACACAACAAAGCTGGGACAGCTCCTTAGTAAGGCGAGTGGTTGCCAAAGCTCATACACAGACATACACATGCTCTTACCGCAGTACAGGAAGAGATGATAACCCTTCCTAATTCAGAACTGCACAGGTACTTCCGAATCTGAGGACATCACTGCTCTTTCAGTGTGTCTGCCTCTCTGTACTGTCGACCATCCTTTTTTTTTTGGTTTTTCGAGACAGGGTTTCTCTCTGTGTAGCCCTGGCTGTCCTGGAACTCACTCTGTAGCCCAGGCTGGCCTCGAATTCACAGAGAACTGCTTCCCAAGTGCTGGGATTAAAGGTGTCAACCATTCTGAACACTACAATATTAGACCTACATCAATATTTAAAACAACAACTGGGAAGCTGGAGAGATGCACCCTGCTCCTGCGGAGGACCAGGCTTTAGTTCCCAGCACCCATGCGGGGTGGCCTGCAACTCCAGGTCCAGGGGACATGACACATGACGCATTCTCTGGCTCCCATGGGTACTGTACTCACACACAGGATTGCTGTGGGATGGTCTGTATGTCAAGTGTGTTGCTGATTGGTCAATAAATAAATCACTGATTGGCCAGTGGCCAGGCAGGAAGTATAGGCGGGACAAGGAGGAGAATAAAGCTGGGAAGTGGAAGGCTGAGTCAGAGAGACACTGCCAGCCGCCACGATGACAAACAGCATGTGAAGATGCCGGTAAGCCACAAGCCATGTGGCAAGGTATAGATTTATAGAAATGGATTAATTTAAGCTGTAAGAACAGTTAGCAAGAAGCCTACCACGGCCATACAGTTTGTAAACAATATAAGTCTCTGTGTTTACTTGGTTGGGTCTGAGCTGCTGTGGGACTGGCAGGTGAGAGAGATTTGTCCTGACTGTGGGCCAGGCAGGAAAACTCAACCTACACAGGATTAAAAATTTAAAGAAAAAAAAATCTTAAAAAAAAAAAGATTTTATTTTCTAAAATGTCTAAGAGCATCTTGTAGGCAGAATGAAGGAAGTGGGGACGATGACACTGACCACAGACATGCGTGGGCTTCTGTGTCACTGGACCAATCAATCACCACTGGATAAGCAAATAGAGCGCTGGATCTCACACCCAGTTTGATGCACAGGAACCATGAGTCAGGTGTGGGGCAAGTCTGTCATCAAGCAACCCAGGGGACGAGGCACGAGGTTGCAAGTTCAAGGTCTACCTGAGCTACAGAGTGAGTACAAAGGCGACCTGGGCAACTTAGTGAGATCCTGTCTCAAAATATAAAAAAGGAAAGAAAGAGCTGGAGAGACAGTCAGTGGCAGAGCATTTACCTAGTTATGTGTGAGGTGTTGGGACTAATCCCCAGGACCATAAAAATTAACAATTAATAAGTAATTTTTTCAATTTTTAAAAATTATGCTGGGTAGTGGCGCACACCTTTAATCCCAGCACTTGGGAGGCAGAGGCAGGAGGATCTCTGTGAGTACGAGGCCAGCCTGGGCTACAGAGCAAGTTCTAGGACAGCCAGGGCTACAGAGAGACCCTGTCTCAAACCCTACCCTCCCCCCCAAAAAAATTATGACAGTGCAGGGCAGGGGAACAATGGATAACGCCTCTGACTACAGATCTGAAGACCCTAGGTTCAATGCATGGCTGTTTGGTCATCTTAGGTTTTTTTGGTTGGGTGTGGTGGCACACACCTTAATCCCAACGCTGGGGAAGCCAAGGCAGACAGATCTCTGTGAGTTCTAGGCCAGCCTGGTCTTCAAAGCAAGTACCAGGCAAGCCAAGGCTAGACAGTAAGACCCTGTTTATTAAAAAAAAAAAAGCAACTGTAATTGTATTTCTTTTTTTTTTTTTGGTTTTTCGAGACAGGGTTTCTCTGTGTAGCTTTGCGCCTTTCCTGGAACTCACTTGGTAGTCCAGGCTGGCCTCGAACTCACAGAGATCCGCCTGGCTCTGCCTCCCGAGTACTGGGATTAAAGGCATGCGCCACCACTGCCCGGCTGTAATTGTATTTCTAATAGCTATGGAGTACGACTACATTGACCACACCCTAATAGAAACATAACCACATTTGTGGCATAAACCACCCACAGCTGGCATCACAGTTACAACAGCATGTCCACAACAGAGCAACGTTTGGCACCTTAGCTGTACCTGTGCGCTGAACTTGATCAGCACCATATACTGGTTGGGAGTGGAGTCTCTGATGATCTTCATCTGCTCAATCACGTCATTGAAGGGGGCAACAAACTTCATAAGGTCGTGACTGGTCATGGTGGCAGGGACGGTGAGCACACACAGCATGGCACTGCGCCGCACATCTTCCTTTAAGGAGGTCATCTTACTGAGGAGGACAACGAGACCGCCTTCAAGAGTCTGGAGAACACTAACCAAACAACTCTTGCATCCAAGAAAATACGGAAAAATAAGACGCCCAACATTTCACTATCAACCTAAACAACTTGTGAGTTTACTCGAAAATACATATCTATGATTACACCTGAATCCTTTCATGTGTATTTTAAGGCAGTCTCTAAATGTTCCATATTAGCCCCAACCAGAGTTTTCAATCTTTTTAAAAATATTTTTATTAGATCCTTGAGAATTTCACACAATGCATTTTGGGTATATTCACCCCACCCAGCTCCTCTCCAGAATTTTCCTTTTCTTTCTTCTGGTTTCCAAGATAAGGTTTCTCTACATAACAGCCCTGGCTGTTCTGGAACTCACTCTGTAGATCAGGCTGGTCTCAAACTCACAGAGATCCACCTGCCTCTGTACTAGCCAGACTCAGTGTTTTATTCTTTTTTTTTTTTTTTTTTGGTTTTTTGAGACAGGGTTTCTCTGTGTAGCTTTGGAGTCTGTCCTGAAACTCACTCTGTAGCCCAGGCTGGCCTTGAACTCACAGAGGTCCACCCGCCTCTGCCTCCCGAGTGCTGGGATTAAAGGTGTGCGCCACCACTGCCCGGCAAGTGTTTTATTCTTTAAAAAAAAAAAAAAAAAAAAAGATTTATTTTTATGTGTTTGCTTACATATACGTCTGTGTACCACATGTAGGCCTGGTGTCCAGAAGAGCATGGGATTCCCTAGAACCTGAGTTACAGACGGTTATGAGCTTCCTTGTCGGTGCTGGGAACTGAACCCAGGTCCTCTGGAAAAGCAGCAAGTGCTCTTAACCGCTGAGCCATCTCTCCAGCACCGTATTTTATTCTCTTTAATTGTTGGTAATAATCTATTGTTGAGTAACTCTGAAGCACAGTACCACTGTGAACTTCTCTGGAGAGCTCTAGAGGAAGAAAGAGCTCTAAATCCTTGTGAGGATTCTAACCCTGAGGATGTGAAGATCACAGACAGTGCTGCCGAGCCAAGCAGCTGGGAGGAGGGGGAGAACCCTCTACAAGGCAGTTTGATTGGCAGCTGTGCTCCAAACTGGCTACCTGATGACTGGCTGTTTTCCCAGGAGGGATCCAGAAACAAGTTAGGACAAGGACAGTCGCTGAGACATCACCAATTATCCTATCCAGGGGGCGGAAGGCCCAAGTGTTTATCTATCCAAGTGCTTCCTTTCCTTGAGCTTCCAGAAGCAAGCTTTAAAAAACAAAACCAGGGCTGGAGAGATGGCTCAGAGGTTAAGAGCACCGGCTGCTCTTCCAGAGGTCCTGAGTTCAATTCCCAGCACCCACATGGTGGCTGAAAACCATCTGTAATGAGATCTGGCACCCTCTTCTGTATACATAATAAATAAGTAAATCTTTAAAAAAAAAAGTACTTGAAAAAACAAAACAAAACCAAAAACACCAGGGGAAAAGGTGTACAAAGCCAGGTCTAGTAGTACACACCTTTATAGGCTGATCTCTATGAGTTCCAGCCAGGGCTACACAGTGAGACCTTGTCGCAAAAACAAAACAAAACAAAAACAAACAGAAAAAAAACCCTCAAAAACAAAATAAAAACAAAGTCATACAAGAGGTATTCTAATTGAAATGAGTTAGCTGGCTTCTGAGCTACAGTACAGTTGTGGTAAGGACATGGCCATGTGGTGCTTTACCTCACTTGATTTTAAATTCCCCAATACCCATGCCTAACAGCTAACAGAATACTTTCCAGAACATTTCTTTTTGTTGTTGTTGTTTTTGTTTTTGAGATAGGGTCTCTCTGTGTAACAGCCCTGACCGTCCTGGAACTAGATTTTAAACCAGACTGGCCTCACAGAGATCCGCCTGCCTCTGCCTGTAGTGCTCGGATTAAACGTGTGTACCACCAGGTCCAGCTCCACAGTACTCCTTAAGTGCATCTTCCTATTTATTTTTAAGTAAGGAAAGCTTTGGCCCAATCGACACTGTCAAACACAGGGCAGTTCAGAACTCTCCAGTACACAGTTCCTAAATGCAGTATGTTGTTAAGCCTTCAGGCCCACAGGGTTTTCTCCCTACTCAAAGGGGAATGGGAGCAGTCCAAAGGAAAAGAGCTTGTCTTACTTGGTCTTATACAGGTGCATGATGCCGTGGACTATTTCAACGGAGGGGTTGCCGCTGAAGAAGGAAATCTGATCTGGGAGCTGCTTGGATGGGGAGTCTGGGGCTGTGTTCGCCGACTCACTCTGCTTTCTGCTTCTCTGTGCAGACAGGGAGGCTGCTGAAGACTTCTTCTCTTCCATTGTCTCTCTCAACTCATCTTACAAAAGCAAAAATTAGCAGATCGCAAACAGCTGGAAATATGCTGAAGGAGCCTAAGTTAGAATTTCAAGCCAGAGAATGAACTGTGACGGAGACACTATGCTGTACTGCATTAAGAACACTAGAGGCTGAAGCAGGAGGGCCGCGGATGTGGGCTCTTGTGAGAGACCCTGTCACAGACACAAACCACCACAGTGACAGAATGGCTAGGGGTTTGGGAACATCTTAACTTTACAGCTTTCCCTGCCTAAAAACAACTCCTCACACCCTTGTAAAAATATGGGAACACCCTCCAAAACCCAAGAAGGGCCCCTCCCACATCCAGCAGCACCCCAACACAAGAGGCAACATTCACCACCTACTCCCCGATGAGACAGGCAATCAGAGTGCTCTGAAAACCGAACCTTCCGGTTCTGACCACACCTATGTAGAGATGCAGAAGGCATCCACTCCCTCAGCTGAGGAGGCCAGCAGGGGAGGGAGGGCACTGCAAGCTTACCCAGATGTACCGCTCCTTGGAGCACTCCCCCGTCCCAGTTAAGAATCCACTTCGTTACACTCAATCGATTTTTTTTTCCTTTATTATTCTTTTGGAACAGGGTCTTCTTATGTTATCTGTTTCCAAACTCCAGGGTTTAGATAACCCTTTTGCCTAAGCCCCCAGATTGGCTGAACTAAAGACATGCACCTCTACACTCGATTTTAGTGCCATTTAGGAAAAAAGTTAAAGAAAATGAAAAGTGGCTTCACAAAATCACACAGAGCACACAAGCGGTGAGAAATAAAAGCGCGCTGAAGCTAGGGCTCAGTCGGTAGAACGCTCGCCTACACGCGTGAGGCCGTGGGCCTGCACCACAGCCCCAGAGAAACTGGATATAATGGTATGGACACACAATCCCCCAACATTCAGGAGGTGGAGTAGATGTTCAAGGTCATCCTCAGCTTCACACACCGTACGAGATTAGTGTGGGCTAAATAAGACCTTGTGATAAAAAAAAATTTAAAAATAGGAAGACACCAGAGGTGAGCCCCATGGGCTCACAATTCAAAAGCAAGGGCCAGGTTCCCGAGGGCATACCTGGGCTGGCCTTCATGGTCTCGATAATCACATCAGTCATTTCCCGACGGCCAAGGTGCTGGTGGATGATGGCTGCTTTCTCCCCTGGTGACTTCCCTTCTAGACAGGCGGTAGCTGAAGCCAGAGTCTTCTTTTTGATCTCCTCATCGGACATCTCCCCAGCTGAAGAACACATGAATGATTTATACCCGATGACAGAACAAGGTCCCCTGACTTCTCGGCACTCCAATCAATAGGGTTCCTCCTTGTCTACTGCGTTCCCCCAATGGGTGAGACTGAGTCTGCCTTGCGTGCCTCAGCCCCTCCAAGGACTCCTACAGCACACTCCCCACCCCACCCCTGGCAACTGTCAGTGGCATCCATCACGACGATCTCAGAAACATGGGCTGTTCCAGTGAAATCATGTACTTAAAACAAACCCCCAGGAATAAAAGGCCTCCCAGAATGTTCCACGGTGACTATACCCAGATGAACTACCGTAAGTAGCAAGCACCCCAGTAAACTGAGAGCCTATGCTGTGGCCCAAATGCAAGTCTCACGAATAAACGGCGTTTCCAAGACCCTGAGACAGGACTGAAACACCCTTAACACCAGCTCTGAGGCAGACCCCAGGCTTGTCCAGCGGGCACTCACCCCACACCACCCAGCATACAGGAGAAGCTCTCACTCTTTTTTATCTTTGTTGCATAAATGACTTCATGATTGGGCCTATGAAGATACCTGGATCTGCCTAATGCCAACTTTGTTGACTTTCAGAACTAGCGGTCACTTTGAGCCCTTGAAAGATGCTTGTAACCTCGAAATACATCACACTCCTTCGAGTACAAATTGCACACCAGGGGAAGACCACCATCTTCCACTGCTCCTCTAAATGCTGGACTCACGGAGGGTGTCCAGTGGTGCCATTTCCCGTGAACAAGCGTCATCCCGGCTCTCCAAGCCAAAGAAGTCTTCCTGTTTCCCTTTTCCATCAACTTATCACAATGATTCCGTGTGCCACAAATTAGAGACCACGTCTAATTCTCCGCACGACGAAGCTCTGACACATAACCAAGCCATCACCCTCCCACACACCTTTTTTTTTTTTTTTTTTTTTTTTCCTGTTTGTTTGTTGGGACAGGTTTCCCTGTAACCCAGCCTGGCTTGTGGTTCGCCGGTCCTCCTGCCTCGCCCTCGGGAGTCTCTCTAATCTCCTGAACCAATGTCACCAGGTAATGTTTGGACGATCAAGGGAGAGTCGGAGCTGCACGGCCCACGAAGGAACGTCAGATTCCCCGGGCCCAGCTGGGTTAGCATCCCCGTTCCAGCCACTCACACCTAACTTTAGGCAAATCATTTCACCACAGGCCTGTCTGCCAGTCTGGAAAAGGCACCGAGCATCCTCCCCCCCACCACCACCACTCCACCCCCAGGCCGCGCGTTCTCGCGGCGAAAGCGTCGGGGGGGGGTGGGGGGACGGACGTCGAGCCAGGGGCACTTGGTTCCCCCCGGGGGGGGGGGGGTGGCGGGGGCAGGTGGAGCGAGGGCGGCCGACCCGCCGGCCCTGCGCGAGGCCGCGGACTCACCGGCGGCGCTGAAGCCGAAGTCGGCGGGGACAGGCGAGTGACCCGCGAGCTCCAGTCGGATGACTACCAGTGACACACTCATAGGGCAGGCGCTGGTCGGCGTGGGCCCCGGCGGGATCAGGGAAGGCTGCGGGCCGAGCCCAGAGCCCGAGCGGCCCGCGGTGGGCAGCGCCGCCACCGCCTCCGACCCGCGGCCGCCGCCTCAGCAGCGGCAGCCCTCTCGCGCAGCCCGGCCGAGCCACAACCACCTCTACTTCCGCCTCCCGGCCGCCGTCTCCGACCCGCGGGGTCGCGCACGCGCATGCGCCAGCGGGAAGGAGGCGCGGCCCCCGCCCCCGCCCCCGCCCCCCGCCCCCGGCGCGCATGCGCCCTCCGCCGCCCGAGGCTGAAACTTGGCTGGACGGACTCCTCCGAGATTGTTGGAGGAGAGAGTGCTTTGGGTCGGTGCAGAGCGTTCCGGGCTCTTTTTTTTTTTTTTTTTTGCGTTCGACCCCTCGCTTCTTGCGTCCCGCCCACGCTCCGGCAGGGTTCTCCCGGGCTTTTTGATTTCCTGGGTCTTCGACCTCAGGGTCTTAACTTTATGCAGGTATGGCGATGGGATGGTTAGGAACGCAGGGGCTTCACAGGTGACCACTAGAGCCTGACACTGCGGGGCTTTGTGGGATACCTTCGCAGACACGGAAAACAGACCCTGGCCGGATGACCTTCAGCTCTCGTGCCATCTGAGCTAGTCGTGGCGTTAACACCGCACGTTTGTGTGAAACGAAACGCTGTGTGGAGACAGGGATAAGCCGTGAAGCCTATAGGTTGTGGTTGAGTTTGGTTTTGTTTGGTTGTTTTGAGACAGGGACTGGTGTAGCGCAGGCTGGTCGAACTCTGTATGTTACAGAGGATGTCCTTGAACTTCTGATCCTCCTGCCTCTTCCACTTCCCCAATGCTGGGGTTAGGGGCTTTCTTCTGAAGGCTTTGTGCTAGACATGGTAGCAGGATAGAACTCAAGAATTGTCCTCCATGCAGTTGCCATAGTGAGCACACACACACTGAGGAATGTGCTTCAGTGGTAGAATGCTTGGGGTACATGCTCTGGGTTCAATATTCAGTATACACACACAAGAAAAAAAAAAGAGAGAGAGAGAAAGAAAAAGAAAAGCCAGCTAAAATCAGTGCATATATGGAAAAAAGTGACAGGTTACTCTTCTATGTATATGCTGTAATGTATGAAATGTGAGAGAAAACTACAGAAACTGTATCTGTGACAAGAACACACGATATATGCTAGACCCTGTGTACTATGTCTCACACCCTGTGAATGCCAGGGTTCCCCAACTTCTGCTCACATTTTTGGGTCCTGATAACCCTTTGAGGGTGCATGTCTGTCTGTGAACCATAGATGTCAGTAGTCCTCTCTCCTGCTAGTGACCAACAAAAATGTGCCAGATATTAGCAAATGTCCCCTCTGGGGTCCAGATCACCCCCCTGTGGACAAGCCATCCACACAGACCATGTGTCAGTCGCAGACATGCCTTTTATGGTGCTCAGGATTGACCTGTGGCCTTTGGCATGCTAAGCACATGCCCTGGTGCTGAGGCACACCCCCAGCTCAGGTGGGAGATAAACTTGATAGCTTTACATTCTTTACCTCAGGCTGTGGGGACCCTGTTTTGCAATAGGTACTGTAATTGTCCCCATTTTACAGAGGAGACACCTGAGGCGCAGATAGAGGATTGTGCCTAGAAGCTCACTCTCAATAGGTAGCAGAGCCGGAATTTGAAACCAGAAAGTCACCGCAGGTCAGTTATGTCTTTGCTCAAACCGTCTCTGTAAATATATAACAATGCGCTGTGTGGATGTTTATGAAATTATAATTCAGTAAGTCTACATTATTCTAACCTCATCATTCTGATTGACAAGGGGGCAATAAGTCTTCTTTGGGGTGTAAAAGATGACAGATCCAGAGCTAGCATCGTCAGCCAGGAATGGACAAGCTGTCCCAGCTCTGTGGCTGTCAGCCACTGTAGTGTGTCCCTAGCCCCTCCCTCCCTGCATCAGTCTATCCCTCTCCTTCTTCTAAGGCAGCATTCAAGGCTGTCCTGCCTCTGCCTTCTCAGTGCTAGGAGCTCAGTCATGCATCACCACTCCCTGCGGTTCTCTGGTCTACCCTGTTTATTCATCCTTCAGTTCATTTATCCTGAGGAGCTGCTCTGACTCTAGAATCAGTCCCGAGCCCCAGGGGATGGATGTCTCAAGGATGCTTAAGACAGTTCTTGCCTTACGGAGCTTTGCTATAGGAGCAGATAGAGAGAGCAGTTACCCTGTGATGGGGGTAAATGCCGCACTAAAGGTATGGAACTGTAAGGGTGAGGGTGGGAAATAGCCCACCCCAACCCTGCCAGAGTCAGCTTGGGAAAAGACGTAAGATCTGCAGGGAAGAAGGCAAGGCTGAGGTGTGGAAATGAGTGGAAATTCACCAGGCAGATGAAATAGGGGAAAGGGCCCTGGTCTACCAGCACAGCAGGTGCCAAGGCCCGGAGAGGTAAAGTGCTTGCCTAGTGTGTACAAAGGCCAGCGTTGGGTTCCCAGCAATCCCCAGGACGCAGGGGTGGTAGCAGAAGCCTGTCATCTCAGCCTGCCTAGACTTTGACCTTGGCACGGAGAGAAGTGATACTGAAAGAAAGCTCAGCAGCCTTCAGGTTTGCTTTGTTGGTGGTTTTCCGAGACCGGGTTTCCTCTGTGTAGTAGCTCTGGCTGTCTTGGAACTTATGTCGGCCAAGCTATCCTCGAACACACAAATAATCCACCTGCCCCTGCCTCCCAAGTTCTAGGATTAGAGGTGTGCGCCACCACGCCAGGCAGGTTTGGGGTTGTTTTGTTTTTTTTGAGACAGGGTTTCTCTGTGTAGCCCTGGCAGTCCTGGAACTCACTCTGTAGACCAGGCTGGCCTTGAACTCACAGAGATCCGTCTGCCTCTGCCTCCCAAATGCTGGCATTAAAGATGTGGGCCACCACCACCCAGCTGAGTAAATTAATTTTAAAAAAGATAATTTTTTATTAGATTGTGTGTGTGTGTGTGTGTGTGTGTTCACCTGAGTGCAGATGCCTGGCGGGTCAAATTTTTGATTAGTAAGTACATCATGCCATTTTTAATATTTACCACTTTAGAGTCTTATGTTAGCTGGGTAGAGAGGTCGATGTGTGCCTGCCATAGCAGATACCTGGGGAGGCTGAGGCATGAGGATTGCATAGGTAGCAGAGCAAGACCCATCTCAAAAATAAAGGAGATAAAAGATTCCTTTTTCAGGTTTTTGGTTTTTGTATGTTGGTGAGTTCCTTTGTTTCTACTTGGGGTGTGTTTGTTTGTTGGTTTGTTGGTTTAAGATAGGGCCTCATTAGGTAGCCCTGGCTGGCCTGGAACTCACAGAGATCCTCTGACTCTTCTCCCCAGGGCTAAGATAAAAGGTGTGCATCAGCAAACCCCAATAAAAGCCTAATTTCTTATGCTTGATTAAGAAGACCTCCAAAGTTAGGAAACTTGGTGTTCTGGTGAAGGGATCCAGAGACAGTGTGCTTCTGAGGGCTCTGGACCCAATCGGTGAATTGACCCCTGATGGATTCATAATGTGATCACGTTGTTGGGAGCTGATGCATCTAGAGAGGTGGGGCCCAGGCGGAAGAAGCAAGTCACTGGTATATGTCCTGGCCTCTTGCCCTGGCCATTTCCTATATTCTCTCTGTCTGTGTCCTGCTTGGCCATGAAGCAGATACCTTCCTGCCACCATGATGCTCTGGCCAAGTGCATGGAGCCGTGCAGCCATGGACTGAAGTCTTTGAAACCATGTGCCAGAACAAATCCTTCCCTTGTGCTGCTTCTGTTAGGGAGTGGGTCACAGCAATGGAAATGGTTACTAATACACAGCTTCTTTAAGTTGCCCAGACTAGCCTGGAACTCAACCAATCCTGCCTCAGCATCTCCAGTGAAGGTTTTAAATGGGGTTAAACCAGGTGTGGTGCATTCTTTTAATCCCTGCACTCTGGAGGCAGAGGCAGGCAGAAACCTGAGTTGGAGGCCAGCCTGGTCTACAGAGCTAGCTCCAGGACAGCCAGGGCTACACAGAGAAACCCTGTCTCTGAAAACCAAGGAAAAATGGGGTTACGTGTGATCACATCTGCAGTTCTGAAGGGTTCCTCTGGCTGACGAGGGAGGAAGGTTGGAAGGAGGTTTGCGAGGAGGCAGAGGGGCCGTCAGCGTCCCTGAAGAGACTGCTGCAGTGACAGAAGCCTGGAGATGGAGGTGCTCGGGAGGAAGAGCAGGCAGAGCTGAGCCAGCTGAGTCGGGATTAAGGAGAGTCAGGGATCAATACCCTTTTTCTATGAATATAGATGTTGAGGGGTGAAGGGCACCTTGGTGAAGTCATTGAGGCCAGCTGTGAGTGGGGCTCAAGTGTCCATCGGGCATCAGCGGAGACATGTGGGTGGCACCCGGAGTCAGGGATAGAGCCTGGATGGAAGCTCGATCAAGCTCCTTGTACCTTCTTCCCACACAGCCTCAGCATCACCATGAACATAAGGAAGCTTTTCCAGCCTTCTGCTCTCCACTGGGCATGGAGGACGGCTGCCATGAAAAGTACCCTGGGCAGGCAGCAGGGAGTCCTACGCTGGACACATTCTGGAGGCCGCAGCTACAGAGCCGTCATTTTTGACATGGGGGGAGTTCTAGTGCCTTCTCCAGGGACAGTGGCTGCTGGTAAGCTTGTTACTCTTTCCCTTTGGGGGGTTTGAAGTAGGAAAAGGGGGTGGTAGGGGAGACAGACAGGCCCTGGAGTCAAATTCTAAGCTCTGGTTAATGGCAGTGTTTAATGCAAATTCTTCAACTTCTCTGAGCCTTTGTTGCCTTGTCATTGAATTAGGGCTAATAACAGGCCCTTCTTTCTTGGGACTCAGGGGGAGAGTTAAATGATACAGTCTACAAAAAATACTGCAGCTCGGCTGGACGGTGGTGGCCCACACCTTTAATCCCAGCACTCGGGAGGCAGAGACAGGCGGATCTCTGTGAGTTCGAGGCCAGCCTGGTCTACAGCGCGAGATCCAGGAAAGGCGCAAAGCTGCATGGAGAAACCCTGTCTCTAAAAACCAAAAAAAAAAAAAAAAATACTGTAGCTCAGTTGGTAGAGCGCTTCCCCGGCATGCACAAGTCCCTGGGTTCAATCCCTAGCTTCTTATAAACCTGGTGTGGCATTTGGGAGGTGGCAGCAGAAGGATCAGGTGTTCAAGGTTATCCTCAGCCAAACGGCTAGTTCAACGGTAGCCTTGGCTATAGGAAACCTTGTCTCTAAAGAAATAACACATGGAGCTTTTTCTTCCCCCCGGCTGCCATGATGTGAGCCATTGGGCTCTTCCATGCCTTCCTGCCCATGAACTGAAGCCTCGGAAACTGTGAGCCAAGTAAGCCTTTCCTCCCTCAAAACTGAGTAAAACAAGTAATAGACAGAGAGAAAGCACACAAGCGAAATTCTCAACCATCGAAGCTACAAAACTGAAGCTGTCCCGGTGCATCCCTGCACCTCCCCACAGCCAACCCTCAAGCCTTGGTGTGCTCTGGGGTTTTTGTTGTACACCGTATGACTTCATTGTGAGCTCACAGCTTAGGTCAAAGATTGCCTAGGGTTTCCAAACAGGAGGCGGAAGGTAAAGACTTCAGGTGTTGAGGGCTGTCAGGTTTCTGCTGCAAACGCCTGAATTGCTGCCATTACAGAGCTAGAGCAGCCAGGGATGGCGGAGAGTGAAAGCATGGCTTGCAGTCCCCCAGGCGCTGATGGGATGGATTTTCGTGTGTCACACCGCACTCATTTTGTTGCGTTATGTTTCAGCTTCCTCAGAAGGTAAAGCCGCTTTCAGGCCGACAGGCCATAGCAAAACTGGCAGCGGTTAGATTTGGCACAGGCTTTGGTTGACGAAGCCCCGGCTTGAATGTAAAAGACACATGATGTAGCTCAGTGGTAGAGTGTTGGCCTAGCACTCACAAGGTCCTGGGTCCATTCGCATCACTGCAGGAAAACACGGGGGAAGAGGGGAGGAGAGGAGAACCCAAAGGTCCCAGAGCCCCTTCCCTGCCTGCCGTGGACCACACACTTGGGTTTTCAATGCAAGGAAAACAGGTTTCTTGTTGCGGACCGTCTTCACCCACTTCTAATTGTTGTGATAAACGCCATGACCAAAGGCAACTTGGGGTGGCAGGGAGTTGGCTTTATTTGACTTCCATGTCCCAGGCAGAGTCCATTATGGAGGGAAATCAGGGCAGGAACTGGAGACAGGAACCAAAGCAGAGGACCATCAGCCCAGAGGTGGCACCATTTACAGAGGGCGGGGCCCTGCTACATCAGTCACTAGTTTAGAAAACGCCCCCACACACATGCCTACTGTCTCAGTTGGGGTTTCTATTGTCGCGAAGAGACACCATGACCACAGCAACTCTTATAAAGGAAAACATTTAATTGGGATGGCTTACGGTTCAGAGGTTCAGTCCATTATCATCATGGGTGGGCCATGGCAGCATGTAGGCAGACATCGTGCTGGAGAGCTAGCTGAGAGTTCAACATCTTGTAGGCAACAGGAAGTGGTCTGAGATGCTGCTGTGGCTTGAGCATATATGAGACCTCAAAGCCCACTTCTATAGTGACACACTTCTTCCAATAAAACCACACCTACTCCAACTAGGCCACACCTCCCTTTAGTGCCACTCCCTTTGAGGGCCATTTTCTTTCAAATCACCACATTCCACTCCCTGGCCTCCAAAGCCTTGTAGCCATATCATAATGCAAAAATGCATTCAGTCCAACTTCAAAAGTCCCCATAGTCTACAATAGTCTCCAACTTATTTAAAGGTCTAAAGTTCAAAGTCTCTTCTGAGATTCATGGAATCTCTTAACTGTAATCCCCTGTAAAATTAAAATAAAAAATTAGATTGCACACTTCCAACACGTAATGGCTCAGGATATCCATCACCATTCCAAAATGTAGGAAAGGGAGCATATGGAGGAGGTAATGGACCAAAGCGAGACCAACTCCCAGCAGGGCAAACTCCAAACTCTGCATCTCCATGTCTGATGTCAAACACTCTTCAGATCACCAATTCTTTTCAGCTTTGTTGACTGCAACACACTTCTTTCTCTGGGGCTGGTTCCACTCCCTGTTAGCAGCTCTCCTCAGCAGGTATCCCCCGTCTCTGGCATCTCCAACATCATGGGGTCTCCAAGGCAATCAGGCTTCAACTTCACAGCTTCACTCAATGACCTCCCTAGGCCTCCGTTCAGGGACACCCCTGACACATGCCTGGCCTCAGCTAATTTCCTTAGTCATGATGGGAGATTCTATAACCCCTTACGTCTGTCCTTAACTCCAGAACCATGTGGCTGAAGCGGCCAAGTTCTGCTGCTTACTAGGGCTGGAACATGGCGCCCTTATTCAAGTTCAATTACATCGTCACCAGCTTTCTGTTTTCCACCTTCACTGCCTAGCCCTGGCTATTCTGGAACTTGCTCTGTAGACCAGGCTGGCCTCAAGCTCAGAGATCTGCCAGTGCTGGGATTAAAGGTGTGAGCTATCACACCCAACTCTAATCTTTTCTTTAATTCCTTTTCAAAAGTTGGAAACTTAGGTGGGTGGGGTCTTACCCTGAGATCACCACTCACTTTGGTCCATTTCTTAATCTGTTTATCTCCTTGAACACAGGATTTAGCTCCATTACACTTCCTGGTGCCCCTATTCTCAATCTGTACATTTTGTATTTTTGTTTGCTCAGCTTACTCCTATTCATTCTATGTCTTCATTAGAGTTACCACTAGTAAACATAGTCTATACTAGGCTGTTTTGAGATTTCCTCTGTCAAGGGAATTAATTCAAAACTCTTCACTTTAGTCTCAGGCAAACTTTTTGGACAAGGGCAAAAAAATAATCACATTCTTCCCCAAAATATCCCAAGAATGATTTCTAGGCAGCAGACTAATAGTCTTCTCCTCTTAAATCTCTTGAGCTACCCATTCCCCCACAGTTCAAATCACTCTTAGCACCACTGTCTTCCCTGTTCCTACTAGTGTGGCCCATTAAGCACTGCTTAAAGCATTCCACTGTTTCCTAACCCAAACTCCAAAGTCCAAATTCTTCTAAATAAAAACATGGTCCGGCCTTTTACAACAATCCCCCAGTCCCTGGTACCAACTTGTCTTAGTTAGGGTTTCTACTGCTGTGAAGAGACACCATGATCACAGCAACCCTTTTTTTTTTTTTTTTTTTTTTTTTTGGTTTTTTTCAAGACAGGGTTTCTCTGTGTAGTTTTGGTGCCTTTCCTGGATCTCACTCTGTAGCCCAGGCTGGCCTCGAACTCACAGAGATCCACCTGTCTCTGCCTCCCGAGTGCTGGGATTAAAGACGTGCGCCACCACCGCCTGGCCCACGACAACTCTTAAAAAGGAAAACATTTAATTGGGTAGCTCACTTACAGTGACTTACAGTGACCACACCTGCTCCAACAAGGCCACACCTCCCATTAGTGCCTTGGGGGCCATTTTCTTTCTAACACCCCCCCCCCCCCCCACAGAACAGTCTGATGGCAGCATTTTCGTAACTGGGGTTCTTGCTTCCCCAATGACCCTAGCTTGAATTAACTCAACATAAAACTAACCCAGCACAAGTCCATAGTTTATCATTTCTAACCCTTAGAGATTAACTAACTCATTTAAGCTGAACTGAATGAAGAAAGAAGCAAATCCGGCCGGGCACTCGGGAGGCAGAGGCAGGCGGATCTCTGTGAGTTCAAGGCCAGCCTGGTCTACAGAGTGAGTTCCAGGACAACCAGCACTCTTACTCAGGGCACACACCTAGTGCCTCTAAGGGAGCAGTCAATCTATGTTATTCTAATAGTCCACATTCTCTGATTGCCTCTTTTTAACATGTAAATAGGTCACTTAGATTTCTTTTTCTGTAAGTTCCTAACATTTCGTATATATATATATATATATATATATATATATATGTATGTATATGCAATTTATTTTATTTTATGTGCATCGTTGTTTTACCTACATGTATTATGAGGGTGTCAAATCCCATGGAACTGGAGTTACAGCTGCCATGTGGATGCTAGGAATTGAACCCTGGTCCTCTGAAAGAGTAGTCAAGTGCTCTTAACTGCTGAGCCATCTCTCCAGCCCAAGCTCCTGGTGTTTCTGCTGAACTTCAGTAAGAGCCTTTTGTCAGTTATATTGAGGAGCAGCTTTTGATGTTTTTGAAGATTTATTCATCATTTTTAATTTATATGCACTTGTGTGTGCCTGCCTAAGTTTATGTGTGTGCAGGTGTCTGTGGAAGCTAAAGTTGGGTCCTCTTCAAGAGCAGTAAACACTCTTAACTACTGAGTCATCTCTCTGCCCCCGCCCCCATCTTTTGATTTATTTTTAATATTTTTGAGAATTTTTTGTTTCTTTCCTTTTGAGAAAGGATCCATACTAAAATTTGCATTTTTAAAATACCATTAGAACCATCTGTGGGTTTTTCTGTCTTTATAGCTGTAGACTTTCAAGTCTTAGTTAAGAAATCCTTTTCTGCTGGGCGGTGGTGCCGCAAGCCTTATCCCAGCACTCGGGAGGCAGAGCCAGGTGGATTTCTGTGAGTTCGAAGCCAGCCTGGGCTACAGAGAGAGATCCAGGACAGGCTCCAAAGCTACACAGAGAAACCCTGTCTTGAAACCCCTACCCCACCCCACCCCCCCCCAAAAAAGAAGAAAATTCTTTAATTCTTTTCTACTTGGAAGGCAGAGGCAAACGGATCTCTGTGAGTTTGAGGACAGCCTGGTCTTCAGAGTGAGTTCCAGGACAGCCAGAACTACACTGAGAAAACCTGTCTCGAAAAACCAAAACAACAGCAGAAAAAGGAAGTTCTTTTCTAACACTTGGTAGACTGAGACAGGAGGATCACTGAGAGTTCAAAGCCAGCCTGGGCTACAGAGTGAATTGGAGGTCAGCCTGGGCTATAGACCCAATTGTACCAACCTCATTTATTTCCTACTCAGGCTAAATGAATATTGAGTGTATGGCTGGGGAGGGAGCTCGGTAGGTGAGGTGCTTGTCTCAGAGGCACGAGACTCTGGGCTATGTCCCTGGAATCCATGTGAAAATACTGAGTGCCGTGGCCTGTGTTGGTGATCCCAGCATGGGGTAGGCAGAGGCCAGAGGATCCCCGGGCTGGATGGCCAGCCAGTTTAGCCTGATTAGTGAGCTCCAGTGAGGGCGAGCCCTGCCTTAAAGGAGATGGATGGCCTTCCCGAGGATGACACCAGAGGTTGTCATCCTGACTTCACATGTGTGTGCGTACACACACACAAATAAGGGGAAGCATGTAAGTGCAAAGGAAACTTGCGGCCGTGCCCTCCGTTTCTAGTAGGTCTCAGAATTCTGTGAGTAGTTACATTGAGAAAGGTTTCTTGTTTTCCCTGCGAACACTTGTGTCTATGACCGTATCCATTGACGCCTGACGGTGCAGTAGAAAATGTGTACATGCACGCACACATTAGAGCATCCTGTACAGACTGCTCTCTACCTTTTTTCTCTACCTGGTAGGCTATTTTGCCAGCTTTTCCTTTTCATGGTGCCGGGATCTAAGCAGGTCCTGTACGTGCTAAGCACACACTCTACATTGGAGCCCTCCCCCTACCTCCTGCCCTTCCATACACATTCACGTCAGTAGGCGTAGGTTTATTCCCAGGGTGAGCAAGCTTTTCCTTGGAGGACTGTGTCAGTTTTATGAGCTGTACTGCCTCTGCCACAAGTGAGTTTCTGAGCTAGTCACCTAAGCACAGGTATGGCTGCATTCCAGGAAGACTCAGCAGGTAGGAGGCTAGGGTACGCCTCTCATAGGATGCTCGCTTTGTGTTCAATCCTAGTGAAGAAACAAAACCTGAGAAGCCAGAGAGACTGATGTGGCCCCTGAGCCATAATCATAACTGACATGACAAGCCCTTTATCCATACACATGAACCTTGCAAACTCTTTTTTTTTTTTTTGGAGCTGAGGATCGAACCCAGGGCCTTGCGCTTGCTAGGCAAGCGCTCTCCCACTGAGCTAAATCCCCAACCCGCAAACTCTCCTTTACCAGCAATGCCATGAACTTGTACATAACCTTCTCTTGCTTTGTAAATATACCTGGAAGAAATTCCTGAAAGTGAAATGAAGCCATCAAACATACATTGAGGAATTTTGACTGAAACTGCCAAATTGCTTTCCAGAGGCCGTACTTGTTTACATCCAAGGCCAGTACATGAGGGTGCCAGACTCCTCACATGCTTGCCAACTCTGGGGCGCACAGAAAGGCTATGCCCTTCAGAGTGCTCGGCGCTAAGGAAGCCTTGCGTGTAAGGCCTCGCTGTGTTCTGCGTGTGTACGCTCCCCTGACAATGGTCGTTCTGAAGCTCGCCCTTGCGTCTCTCTATACCTTCCCATATTGCCAAATATTCTCAAGACGCAGGCTCCACTTTCTCAGAAAAGGTGCTTCAAAACACAAGATATGGGCTGGAGAGATGGCTGGGTGGTAAAGCGCACCTTCTGTTCCTGCAGAGGGCTTGAGTTCCGTTCCCAGCCCCATGGCTCACAGCCACCTGCCACTCCAGCTACAGAGGATCTGATGTCCTTTTCTGGCCTCTGCAGGAAAGTCATGCGGGAGTGGGGCTGGGCCCAGAGCAGCCCTGCGCCCTGTCTGTGTTAGTCCTGTACCCTCCTGATGTCAAAGTGGGAGTCCAGATGTCCCAGGAGCACCAGCAGCCACCACAGTGATGCCACAGGACCGGGGGCAGTCACTCCCACGCTCCCCAAGCCCCAGCCATTTCTTGTTCCTCATTCTGTGAATGTTGTGACCTACAGAATGGGAGGTGCAGAATCGTGTTCCTTCTGGAACTATAGTGAAGGCCTTGATCAGAGACGGCGACAGCGGACCCTGGATGAGGTTTATGAGAGGAGAGATGACTACAGAGGCCTTCTTGGAAGAATTTGGGAGAGTGTGCTCTGAAATCGTGAGTGATGAACATTTCTCTCCCTGTTTCTATCTCTTCTCCTTTTTTGGGGGAGGGGTGCAGAGACAAGGTGTGTAGCCCACAGCAGCCTTGAACTCACTCTGTAGCCCAAGATGACCGTGGACTCCTAATCCTCCTGCATCCACCTCCCAGGGACTTAGGTTACAGGCATGAGCCCCCATGTCTAGCTTTTTTATATTTTCCTTTTTGCCTCGAATATGCTAGCATTCTGCTGTATATTGATTTAAATGTATTAAAATTAAAACCTAATAGCCTATCTTTCTGTTTTTAAGCTACTCCTTCCATGCCGGGGCATTTCAGCTTTGAGTTTGAGTATGAATAAATAACTGTGCCCTTCCCTGTAAGCTACAGTAGACACTGAAACACCAGCCATCAGCATAATGGCTTGAGCCATAAGCTTACTAAATCAATAAACATTGGCCATCTTCTCTACACTATGCACTATTCTAAGCTTTTCATTTACAGTAACTTCTATAACCTTCACAGTTCCACTGAAATACAATTTAAAATATAGTAAATAAGTTCCACGGAAGGACAGTATGATGGTGGACACCAGTGAAAGTGTGTTTGTTTAATGCTGCCGAGTCATATGCTTAAAAATATTTGCCGGGCAGTGGTGGCGCACGCCTTTAATCCCAGCACTCGGGAGGCAGAGGCAGGCAGATCTCTGTGAGTTCGAGGCCAGCCTGTCTGCAGAGCGAGATCCAGGATAGGTATCAAAACTAAACAGAGAAACTCTGTCTCGAAAAACAAACAAACAAACAAACAAAAAATTTACAGTGAACCTTGCAAGAAAGCGCACCCTGCAAAAGTGCTTGCTCCCAAGCCTGATGACCTGAGTTCACTTGCCGGAATCAAAGTGATGGAGGGAGGAACCTGACTCTTGAAAGTTGTGCTCTGACACCCACAAGTGTAAGATGCCACTCGCACACCCACATATAAGTAAATGTACTTTAAAAAAATACTAAGCCGGGCGGTGGTGGCGCATGCCTGTAATCCCAGCACTCGGGAGGCAGAGCCAGGTGGATCTCTGTGAGTTTGAGGCCAGCCTGGGCTACAGAGCTAGTCCAGGACAGGCTCCAAAGCTACAGAGAAACCCTGTGTCGAAAAATAAAATAAATAAATAAATAAAATAAAAAAAAAATACTAAAAACAACAGTAAACCTCAAAACTATGCTAACAGGTCAAAGGTCAAAGGGTGACACTGAGTTCCTGCTGGTGAGGTGCCATGTTGTTTAAGTCTGCAGCTACAAAAAGCACCATTAGGTTTCTAGGAAGAGAAAATGGAGAAATTGCTCCTGGACTGGTTTCTCTTAGGGTAGTAAGTTCTCATTTAATGGTGATGGTTATGTGACTTTGTGACTTTAAAAACTACTATCTTGGGGGGGCTGGAGAGATGGCTCAGAGGTTAAGAGCACTAACTGCTCTTCCAGAGGTCCTGAGTTCAATTCCCAGCAACCACATGGTGGCTCACAACCACCTGTAATGAGATCTGGTGCCCTCTTCTGGCCTGCAGGCAGAACACTGTATACACAATAAATAAATAAATCTTTAAAAAAAAACCCTATTATCTGGATGTAGTAGCCCATCTGTCTGTTCCCAACACTCAGGAGGCTAAGGGAGGAGGATTGTGCTGTGGGATGGTCTGTATGTCAAGTGTGTTGCTGATTGGTCAATAAATAAATCACTGATTGGCCAGTGGCCAGGCAGGAAGTATAGGCGGGACAAGGAGGAGAATAAAGCTGGGAAGTGGAAGGCTGAGTCAGAGAGACTCTGCCAGCCGCCATGATGACAAACAGCATGTGAAGATGCCGGTAAGCCACGAGCCATGTGGCAAGGTATAGATTTATAGAAATGGATTAATTTAAGCTGTAAGAACAGTTAGCAAGAAGCCTGCCACGGCCATACAGTTTGTAAGCAATATAAGTCTCTGTGTTTACTTGGTCGGGTCTGAGTGGCTGTGGGACTGGTGGGTGATAGAGATTTGTCCTGACTGTGGGCCAGGCAGGAAAACTCTAGCTACAGGATTGAGCAAAATAAAACAGCTGAGCATGGTACACACCTTTAGCCTCAGCTAGGGCGGAGGGATCTCTGTGAGTACCAGGCCAGCCATGGCTTCATAGTGAGACCCTGTCTCCAAAACAAAGAAGAGCTGTAGACCTGCGCGCCTTACCTCGGCACACTTGCTGTGTTAGTTACATTTCAGTACAGCTATTATAAAATGGACCTGGGCCTCCGAGACTTGGCATTTGCAGATTTTGAATGAGCAAAACCCACACAGATTGGAATTTAAAAACAAAGAAAATTGAGCTGGAGAGATGGCTCGGCAGTTCAGAGCACTTGCTGCTCTTGCAGAGGACCTGGGTTCAATTCCCAGCACCCACATAGTCACAACCATTTATAATTCCACTTCTGGGGTTCCAACACCCTCTTCTGGGCCCCGAGGGCTCCAGGCAACACATGGTGCATATATATATATATATACACATGCAGGCAAAACACCCATACACATATAATAAAATACTTAAATAAATAAAACCTTTAAAAGACCCTAAAATTGTTCAGAAACTAAAGTTCATAAGGTTGATGCAAAGTACAACACAAAACCATCCAGTAGGTTACTACTAATAAATGACATCTGATGAACAGGCTTGGAAGTTTAATGTATCTTCTTTTTTTCTTCTGTGTTTGGAGACAGGGTTTCCCTGTAGCCTAGGCTGCCCTGGAACTCACACTGTAGACCAGGTTGGCCTCTGCCTCCCAAGTAGTGTGATTAAAGGCTTGCGCCACCTCTGCCCGGCTTAATGTATCCTCTTTTGTTGGTCTGACTTTTTTGACTGGTAATCCAAGAGTGGAAAGAAGAACTCTCGTGGCCAGAGTGGGGACACATCCCTGGCTATTTTAACTCTTCTAACTCTAGTTCTAACCCAAAGGGTTTGCTTTTCTGTTTTCTTGTTTGAACAGGGTGTGAGAAGGGGTCTCTCTGCCGCCCTTGCTAACATCAAAGCTGAGACCCCCCCCCCTTCACCTCCCAGGGTTTAATTAAAACCCAACTTCTACATGCGTTTTTAAAGACTGAGATAGCCAGGGCCAGTGACTTGTACCAGTTGTCCTGGTTACTAGGGAGGCTGAGGAAGGAAGGTCACTTGACTCCAGGCATTTGGGGCTTGTCTGCCCAATATGCTGAGGACTCTGAAAATACAAATGAAACCCTAAAGTCGGGGGCAGCCAGCCTATGCTGGCCTCTTCCATCCGGGCCGATGGAGGATGTTGGGAATGGAGTTTTGCTGGTAGACCATGAGGCACTACGCTCTAATGCCTGCCAATTCTCCTGTCTCCTCTCCTGTTCCAGGCAAAGACTTCCGTGCCTGTGGATTCATTTTTCTCTCTGCTGACCAGTGAAACAGTGGCCAAGCCGTTCCCGGTGATGACACAGGCCATCTCTCAGATCAGAGCGGGAGGCCTTCAGACCGCAGTCTTGACCAATAACTTTTGCCTCTCCAATGGGAAAAGCTTTTTGCCCCTGGACCGGAAACAGTTTGACGTGGTAAGTACAAGGTGATGGATATGATGAAGACAGTCTGGGTACAGCTTTAAATGCTGTCTGCTAGCAGTCTCCAGTAAGTGGGTTTTTTTGTTTTGTTTTGTTTTATTTTGTTTTGTTTTTTTCCACACACCTGTCCAAATTAGGTTTAGGTGTAATATTAGGTGTAATAAGTTTAAAATGGTCTTTTATTTTTATTTTGTGTCTTTTTTTCTGTTTGTTCAGGGTTTTTTTGTTGTTGTTGATTTTTTTTGTTTTGTTTTGTTTGTTTTTCGAGACAGGGTTTCTTTATATAGCCCTGGCTCTCCTGGAATTCCCTCAGAGATCCACCTGCTTTTGTGTGTGTGTGTGTGTGTGTGTGTGTGTGTGTGTGTGTGTGTGTGTGTGTTAACAAACAATAACAACAAAAAAAGGTTCTCATTATATCGCCCTGGCAACCTGGAACTTGCTATATAGGCCAGTCTGGGCCTGGAATGCACACAGATCTTCCTGCCTTTCCTTCTAAGTTCTGGGACTAAAGGCATTCACTACCACATCCAGCAAAAATGGGCTCTTGCAACACAATTGTGCTCATAGCCAAGCACTGATGAGGTGGAGACCTCTTTACGTCGCACGTCCAAGCCCTCACCTGCACTTACATCCCCATCAGCCCTCACTCGTCATGTGGTTTCTGACTCTCTCTCCACCTCATGTCTGATGCTGACCTCCAGATTGGTGCCATCCCAGAATACCTCACTGCTGTCTCTGAGATGGCTCCGTGGGTGCTTTCCATAGAACCTGAGGACCTGAGTCCTACCTGCCTTTCCCAGGGCGTGATGGGCGATTATGAGGTTCACCGGCTCCTTTCCTTGGGGTTGGCACTAAGTGTGGCCCCTGAGTTGCGTCCTCAGGCTTTCCAGTCCCTCGCTTTAAGAAGGCAGCATCCTTTTACATAACAGCCCTTCCTGTTAGAGTAAATAACCCTGCGCGCCATCTCCTTTCTCTCAAACCTGTGCTGGTGTGCTTGTGGGAGCTGCACCTCTAGGGCCACCCCCCTCTCTCCCCCAGGTGGTGGAGTCCTGCCTGGAAGGCGTCTGTAAGCCAGACCCCAGGATATACCAGCTGTGCCTGCAGCGGCTGAGCCTGCAGCCCTCAGAGGCCATTTTCCTGGATGACCTGGGGCCAAATCTGAAAGCAGCCGCCAGCCTGGGCATTCACACCATCAAGGTAATCCTCACCATCCCTTGAATCACCTACTATGCACCAGGATTAGTTAGCTCAGGCATGGCCAGGTTATCTTGTCCTGTTTGTGCCTGCAGCTCTCCTTGGTGACTCCCTTCAAGCAGTCATCCTGCTTTGGACTAATTAGGAAATCTGGAACTGACTGCTCCTACCTGCAGTGTGGGAGGGAGGCCATGTGAGGAAAGTGGCCTTTGTCTGGGGCAGACTGTCTGAGCAAAGCTTTTCTAGATGGAAGGGCCAGGAGCCACCAGCCACATGGGTCACTTTAGGTCATGGCTGTGAAGTGTGGACGCCATGTGTGGTGGGGGGTGTCCCAGCCAGTTTTGTTCATCTGGGTTTTCAGACTCACAGACCACAGAGACAGAGCCACAAATTCCAGCCCAGCCCTCTGCCCTCTGTGCAAGGATACAGGCCTTTTCGTTTGTTCATTTGTTTTAGATCGTCTCTTTGTATCCCAGGCCAACCTTGAACTCCAGATCCTCCTAGCGTACCTTCCCAGATTGTAGGGTGTGTCCCCATCCCAGCCTCTTGAGAACCCGTGGATGGTACTCTCCTGTGAAGGCGAGGCTCGGGGTTAGATGGACGAGGAAACTCATTGTGCTTCCTCTGAGCTGAGCAAAGGCTTCCAGCAGCCATTGTCTGAGAACCAACTTCTGGGCATGTCCCTCTAAGGCCGTGGTTCTCAACCTGTGGGTCACAACCCCTTTGGGGGGGTGGGTCCAAATGGCCGTTTCACAGGGGTCACACATCAGATATCCTGCATATCAGATATTTACGTCATGATTTGTAACAGTGGCAGAATTACAGTTACGAAGCAGCAATGAAAAGTTTCTGGGTGGGGGTCACCACAACATGGGGAATTTTATTAAAGGAGCACAGCATTAGGAAGGTTGAGAACTGCTGCTCTCTAAGGTGTGGCCCTCTTGGAGACAGGCAGGCTGAGGGCCAAGCTGATGGGAACAAGTTGTGATTTTGTTTTTTCTGAAACGAGGTTGACCATCCCGAGATAGCGGTAAAGGAGTTGGAAGCTCTTCTGGGGTTCCCGTTGTGTGTGGGTATCCCCAACACGCGTCCTGTGAGGAAGGCCATGGAGATTCCGAAGGATGCCTTGGAGAAGTACCTGAAGGGCTTGCTGGGGACCCACGACACTGGTAGGGAAGCTTTCCTGCTTAGGGGCTCTCTCCACACACTGTGGTTGTCACTTCCCACCCCGGTGGACTGTGCGGGTGCTATTATGGATCCTGAAGAGCATTGGCTCCTCCCACCATGGTACTCCATCTCTGAGTCTGGTGGGGCAGCCTTTGCTGCAGACTAGCCACCGAGGAGGAGGGAGCTTGGAGATGCATTGTGCAGTGAGCCGTTCTGACTTTTGTGACAAAAAGTCATAGTCTGAGACGGTGACTGTATGTTATATGAATTTAGAGACTGGGAATCCCGCTCAGTGGTAGAGCACTTACCTAGCATGGGTAAGGCCCTGGTTATGTCCCCACCACCACCACAAAAAAAAAAAAAAAGGCTGCATGATTTAAAAAGCGGCAAGGCGACTCCTCTTCTCTGGTCCTCTTGTTCTCTGTATTCTATCCTCTGAAAGATGGCATCTCCGAGCTTTGAAAACTTGCCTGGTGAGTCCCTTCCCCCAACCTGGTCCTCTCGAAGGCTCTTGTTTATAGTTTCGCAGTATGCTGTTTCCTAGCCTTGGGTTTCTTGGCAGCACACCCACAGAGCTGAAGGCCCCCCTAGACCATGCCAGCCAATGGCCAGCTCCCATGCCTGCTCACTCTCCTGCCAAGTGGAACAAATCTTACTATGCAGCTGGGGTGTATGAGGTCTGCCTCTTCCAGGAGCCAGCAAAAGAGCCGCAGAACTTAGCCTAGAGGCTGGGAAAGTGTGTCTCCTGTAGGCAGCTTTGGCTCTACGTGGCTCCTCTCAGCTGTCACGTCAGTGCCAGGCGTGGTTTGGAAGGACGTGGTGAAGGACATACAAGGGCACTTTTGATCTCAGGCATAGGACATTCCATGGGGCCAGATGTGTTGCCATGACAGCTCGGACTGATAAACAGAAGCCAAGGGCCTGTGTTCACTAGGCAGGAGTTGGCAAGGAGCAATGCACCCAACAGAGAGAAGAGGTGACCGCTGTGTTAAGGAGGTGGCCTTTGCTGCCCTGTAACAGCGTGTGGCTCTGAGTGTATAAGCCTGGGACTCAGTCATCGTACCCTGGGATGGGGAGGGCGGCGTCTCTTGCTGGTACCGTACAGGAGGAAATCAGACATCCCAGAGGCATACCTCACTGAGAAGAAGAAGTTCCTGTCTGTCCAGATGTGGGTTCCGGATCCCCCCTGAGTGCTCTGTATTGTCAAACTCTGCAGGGCCCATGGAGATCCTTCAGTTTGACCATGGACAGTCAAATCCAACGTATTACATCAGGCTGGCTGACCGGCAGCTGGTTCTGAGGAAGAAACCCCCAGGGACCCTCCTTCCCTCTGCCCATGCCATAGAGAGGGAGTTCAGGTACGTTTCTGGGGGTCAGAGGGTGATTGTCCAGCTGCTGTCCCCTGCACACCAGCTCAGTCCTAAACTGTCAAGGCAGCCGCAGTGAGACTGCCCTGAAGTCTCTCCCTCCTTTCTTCCCACCCCCCCCCACCCCAACCGGAGCTGAGGACCGAACCCAGGGCCTTGAGCTTGCTAGGCAGGCGAGCTACCACTGAGCTAAATCCCCAGCCCCAACTCTCCCTCCTTTAAAGAAACGTTTTATAGTTAAGTGTGTGTGGAGGGGGGACTGCCCATGGAGGCAAGAAGAGGGTGTTAGGTCCCCCCGGAGCTGGAGTTACAGATGGTTGTGGGCTGTCATGTGGATGTTGGGGGCTGAACTTGGTCCTCCGGAAGAGCATAGCAGTACACACTCTTTTTATTTTATGTGTATGAGTGTTTTGCCGGCATGTGTGTGTGAATGGATGTGTGTCCATTTACCACATGCCCGTGGAAGTCAGAAGGTGCTGGCTTCCCTGGAACTGGAGTTACACATGGTTGTGAGCTGCCATGTAGGTGCTGGGAATTGAACTCGGGTCCTTTGCCAAAGCAAGCTCTTCACTACTGTCTTCAGTGCCCTCAACTGCTGAGCCATCCCTCCAGCCTCACCCACCCCCTGCTTTTGTTCTGAGACAGGGTCACCCTGTGTATCCCTGACTCACTCACTGGCTGTATAGACTAGGCTGGCATTGAACTCATAGAGATCCGCCTGCCTGTGCCTCTTATGTGCCAGAACAAAAGGCATGTGCCGCTATGCCCAACTGCCCTGAAGCTTTTAAAACTGTGATTATCAGTCTCCTCCAGATGAGAACGTGTTACTCACCTTATTTATTTATTTGTTTGTTTGTTTGTTTGTTTTTGGTTTTTCCAGACAGAGTTTCTCAGTGTAGCCCTGGCTGTCCTGGAACTCACTCTGTAGACCAGGCTGGCCTCGAACTCACAGAGATCCGCCTGGCTCTGCCTCCCGAGTGCTGGGATTATGGGTGTGCATCACCCTGTGGCTTATCCACCTTAATGTTTTGACATAAAGGTCTCCCAGTAAACCTGAAGCCATGCCAGTCAATGAGCTCAGAAATCTGCCTGTCTTCACCCCAAACACAGCCCCAGGCTGGGGTAGGCACATGCTGCCATGCTCAGCTTTTTATATGGGTTCTGGGGATCTACACACGTCTTTGTGTTTGTGTGGCAGGCACTGTACCAACTGAACCCACCCCAACGATGTACCGTTTTTTAAATAAGAAAAGCAATTTGCTTACAACGGTGTGTTTTCATTTGTTCTGGCAGGATAATGAAAGCCCTTGGGAATGCTGGTGTCCCTGTCCCCACTGTCCTTGACCTCTGTGAAGACTCAAGGTAAAGATCTGCGGATTTTCCCATTGTGTCCTCAGGCTGCAGGAGAGAAAAGCGCATTTGCTAACTCAAGAGCCCATGCCTTAGAGCTGAGAAAATCAGCTGCAGCCACCTCCCCCAGAAGCCCTAAGACTCTGTCACCCAGAAAGCACACCCACATCCAAAATAGCTTTCTTAGCATTCCAAAAATACATACCCACTTCGCTGAGTGTGGTACATTTGTAATCCCAGCACTAGTGAGGCAGAGGCAGGAGGCTACATAGAGAGACCCTTTCATGACCAAACAGTACATACACCACACACACACACACACACACACACACACACACACACACACACACACACAGAGAGAGAGAGAGAGAGAGAGAGAGAGAGAGAGAGTCCACTGAGTTTCATGTTGCTTGCTTTTGTTATTTTTTTTTTTAACTGTGGTCTAAAATGTTTTGTTTGTTTGTTCGTTGAGACAAGGTCTCTCTAGCTCTGGCTATCCTGGAACTATGTAGACTAGACTGGCCTTTGCCTCCTGAGAGGTGGGATTAAAGGGGTGTACCACCGTGCCCTGCTCTTCTCTTTTAAACTGCTGTAGCAGTCTGTCTGTCTGTCTGTCTGTGTGTCTTTGAGACAGTTGTATCCAGGGATGACTCTGAATGGCTGATCTCTCCGCTTGCACCTCCTGAGTGCTAGGGTTACGGCATGCAGCACGCAGCCTGTTTACGTGGTGCTGGGATGGAACCCAGGCTGTGTACGTGCTAAGCAAGCACCGTTCGTTCATAAGAAGCAGATTCCCCAGCTGAGTCTCTCTCTTTTTCCTTAAGTTTTGATTAGGAAGATTTCCAAGCACACAGAACAATTGAAAGAAAACACAACACCGGAGACATCTATTTATACTTCGGATGAAACTGCTGTTAATATTTGCCACATGTTCCCTTCATATATGTGGAGTAATTTACATGCCCATTTATTTATTTTGAGGCAGGGTCTTACTGTGTAGCCCAGACTGACTTCTGAGTCACAGTTCTTCTGCCTCAGCCTCCACAGTGCTGGGATTACCAGAGCTGACTCCCAAGAATGTTACGTGTGTACGCATGTTCATGAACATGAGTGAATACATGTGTGCACGCATGTGGAGGCCAAGCTTGAGTGTGGTTCCTAAAGAGCCATCTTGTTCGTTTGACAAAGGGTCTCTCACTGGGACCTGACGCTCTCTAGGCTGGCCAGAAAGCCCCAGTGACCTGCCTGCCTGTCTGCCTCGCCAATGCTGTGACCACTAGTGCGCACCACCAGACCTGCTTTGGGGTTTGCTTTTGTTTTCTGTGAGTTCTGGGGATCGAACTCAGATCCTCATGCTCGCGCAGCAAGCATTTTACTGACTGAGCTAGTCCTTCCGAAGATGCCTCTGATGGGGCTGGAGAGATGAGATGGCTCAGCGGTTAAGAGCGTCTGCCAGGCTCACGGAACCACCCGGGTTCTATTCCGAGCTTGCACAGGACAGCTCACAGCTGTAACTCCAGTTCCAGGGGATCCGGTGTCCTCTTCTGGCCTCTGCAAGCACCAGCCACACATGTGCCGCACAGACATACATGCGGGCCAGACACCCACACACACTAAAAAACCAAAAAGAGGAATGTGTTTCAAGTCAGGACAGACTCACAGGACAATTTTTAGAACCGCTTTTTAGAGCAGTAAAGTACTTTCTAGTCCTGACTAGCGGATGGTTAGTGATGTGAAAGCAAGGGGGCTGGAGAGATGGCTCAGCAGTTAAGAGCACTGGCTGTTCTTCCAGGGACCAGGGTTCAAGTCCCAGCAACCACATGGCAGCTCACAACTGCCTGTCATCCCATTTTCAGGGAGATCTGACATCTTCATACAGACATACATACAGGCAAAACACAAATGCCCATGAAATAAAAATAAATAAATTAAAAAAAAAATAGTGGCAAATTACCTGAACACCACAAGGTGGTACATGTGCCTTCACTGCCTTTAAATAAGGGTGCAGAAAACATCAGGACAAGGAGGGATGTCGGATAGCGGCCCCATGTGTGCGTAGATGCTACATGAGGACCTCTGTGTATTTGTTCTCTTCATTTTAAAACTGGGTAAGTTTCACAGATGAGAAAAAGCTGAAGGAACCATCTGTAACTCCAGTCCCAGGGGATCCAACACTCCCTTGTGGCTTCCACAGGCACGTGGTGCTCAGACACAATGCAGGCAGAACGGCTGTACACATAAAATAAAATGGAAGGGGAAAAGACAACTGGGGTGTACCTGGAAGTTTTCCTGTGTCCGCAGCCGCTCAGACCCAGGTAAACACACAGAGGCTGATGTTAATTAAAACTGCTCAGCCATTAGCTCAGACTTGCTGCTGACTAGCTCTTACATTTAAACTCAGGCCATTTCTGTTAATCTATATGTTGCCACGTTTTCCATGGCTTTACCTGTTGTGCTGTTACGTGTTTGCTGCTCCCTGGCTGGTGTCTCCTCTGCTCTTCCTTTCTCCTTCCTCCTCTCTAGTTAGAATGTCCAGCCTAATCCTATTCTGCCTCACCATTGGCAAACAGCTTTGTCTATCAACCGATCAGAGCAACACATAGTCACAGCATACAAACCGACACCACTCATCACTGGGGCTAGAGAGATGGCTCGGTGGGTAAAAGGACTTGCTGCCCAGCACAAGGACCCGAGTTCAAATCCCAGAACCCATGTAAAGGCCGTCCAGAGAGTGGGAGTACCTGTAATCCCAGCACTCCTGCAGCAAGATGGGAGGCAGAGACAGGAGAATCCCCGAGGCTTGTGGGCCAACTGCCCGCTGTACACAGTAGAAACCTGACCCTGTGGTGCACCTCACTATGTTCTTTCACACACACACACACACACACACACACACACACACACACACACACACACAATGGCACAGGCCTGTAATTCCAGCACTCTGGAGGCTGAGGCAGGAGGATCTCGAGTTCATAGACAACCTATGCTGTGCAGTGAGACCTTGTCTCAAAAGAACCGGATGAAAATCTTCAGACAGGCTTCTTAGAAAGTCTCCTTAGGATACACAGCTAGTCAAGGGCAGAAGTGGGACGTGAAGCCGGTTCTGAATGATTCCAGAACTCCCTCCTCTTCAAAAATTTGGTCTTAGTATTGTCACATTAAAGCCTCTTCAGTGGTTTCGACACATGGGCCAAGGAGAAGTGAGAGCATGCTGGCTGTTTGCACACACAGGTGGGCATGGGGGGTTGGGGGATGGGCACTCTCGGTTCTTTGCACTCAGAGGCAAGGGAGCTCCGTCCCTCTCCCAAATCCTCCTCACAGAAACTGAGGGGCACCATGGCTGACGGCCACTGAAGTGCCCAACCCCATCTGTGTCCTCGCCAGCATCATCGGTACCCCCTTCTACTTGATGGAGTACTGCCCAGGCATCATCTACAAAGACCCCTCGCTGCCAGGCTTGGAGCCCCACCAGCGGCAAGCCATATACACTGCCATGAACCAAGTCCTGTGCAGAATTCACAGTGTGGACCTGCAGGCCACGGGCCTGGACAGCTTCGGGAAGCAAGGTGTGCAGGGGCGGCCCATCCTCCCCCGAGAGTTCCTCTCACGAGGCCAAGCTCTGCTGCTGGGGTCTGGGTGGTTAGGGGTGCTGACCCATAACCCTGCCCACCTTCTAAACGCAGGCTGATCATAACTGCTGACCACTCATTTTGTCCTTGGATGAGACACATCATGGACTTAATTAAGGACTCTGTTCTTGCCACTTTTTTCTTACTGAACTGTTTAATCCTTTCTTTCTTACTGATGCTGATCATAGTATTTAAGATACACTTCTTCCTTCCATGTCTTCCTTCTTTCCTTCCTTTTTAAAAAATTTTATTTTATTTGAGCCAGGTGATGGTGAATGCCTTTAATCCCAGCATTCGGGAGGCAGAGGCAGGTGGTTCTCTGAGTTTGAGGCCAGCCTGGTCTGCAGAGTGAGTTCCAGGACAGCCAGGGCTACACAGAGAAACCCTGTCTTGAAAAACCAAGCAAACAAACAATAAATAAAATTTTATTTGAGAGAGTCTGGTGTACCCCCTGGCTGGCCTTGAACTAGAGATGTAGCTAAGGATGGCTTTGAACTCCTGATCTAACTGCTTCTACTTCTCAAGTGCTGACATTACAGCGTATACCACCATACTTGACTTCTTTTTGAGGGGGAAGGTGGTTGTTTGTTTGTTTTTTGGTTTTTTTCAAGACAGGGTTTATCTGTGTAGCCCTGGCTGTACTGGAACTTGCTCTGTAGACAAAGCTGGCCTTGAACTCACAGAGATCCACCTGCCTCAGCTTCCTGAGTGCTGGGATTAAAGGTGTAACTGCCACTGCCCAGCCACACTTGGCCTCAAAAAAAAAAAAAAAAAGGCAGAAAAGAAAAAAAAAACTTTTCTTGCTATGTCAAGGGTCTCACTCTGTTGCCAAACTGGCCTTGAACTTGTCTAAAATGACCTTCCCACCTCAACTATATGTACTTTATTTTAATATTATTTTATTTATTTATTTTGGCATTTTGAGACAGAGTTTCTCTGTGTGTAGCCCTGGCTGTCCTGGAGCTCATTCTGCAGACCAGGCTGGCCTCGAACTCAGAGATCCACCTGCCTCTGCCTCCTGCGTGCTGGAGTTAAAGGCATACGCCACTATGCCAGGCTCACCCTTATGTATTTTATCCTTCCTTTAGCTCTGGGAAGCGCCTATCAAGGTGAGGAAAGTCAGACCCAGCAGGGTTAGGTAGGGTCCCTGTCATCACACAGCCGGATGACGCCAGAGATGGATCCCACCCCCGCTAGTCCGACTCCAGATTCATGCTCTTAGCCTACCACCGTTATACTTGACCGAGAAGGGATTTATTCGGCCGTTTGAAAGCTCACAAAGATCAGGGGTCAGGCTTGGAGTTTTTTCATGGGGCAACAACAGGGCCGAACGGGCCGAGGCAAAGTGGCTTCCACGATGTGCAGGTGCTTCACATAGGAATTTCCCCATCACCAGAACAAGTTCAGACACACGGCACTGGCACGGAGCTGCTGATGTTCTCACCGCTCTCCTGAACTTGCAGGGCACCGAAGGCCGTCGGAACGGCGTACCATGTCCCAACCCTCTTTCCCTCAGGGAACTATATTCATCGCCAGGTACAGACCTGGACCAAGCAGTACCGAGCAGCGGAGACCAGCAGCATCCCAGCAATGGAGAGGCTTATCCAGTGGCTGCCGCTGCACCTTCCCAGGCAGCAGAGAACCACGGTGGTGCATGGCGACTTCAGGTAGACGCAGCCGCGGGGTGGGGGGTGGGGGGTGAGGGGGGCGCAGGGCGGCGGCGGTGGCGGCAGGGTATCCCATGTGGAAACTGATGGGCAAGGCCCGTGCAGGGGAGACCAAGTCAGTGGCCCATATTACAGACGGCAGTAATCCTTCGCAGAATGTTTCCTTTATATCAGGGCTCCTCATTGCTCATTGTCAACACCGTGACCTCTTAGGAGGTCAAGCATCATCTCTGGCTTCTGCTCACTAAGGTCCATAGCAGCCCCCTCTCCCAGAGCTGCTTGCAGACGCTGTCCCGTGTGCCTGTGGGGAGGAGCTGTGCTGGGTGTGGAAACAGTGTTGAGATCAGGTAGATGAGGGCATGTGCACACCCTGTGGGCTCAGTGTTGGGTGTTGACCTTGTGCCCAGACTGAAGGAGGTCGGGGAGCGGATGTGGTTTCCTGGGGTGTGAGCGGAGTCTAGAGTTCTGCCTTCCCTAGACCTCAGTACACCTCCATCCCACTGGGTGTCCAGCTGACCTTCCAGGGCTGCCCTGGACTCTGCTCTTGAGGCACTCAGGGCACAGTCAACCATTTTCTGCTTCCCAGCAGCTCCTGGAGGCCGCCTTTGAGCTACACATCGTGTGTGTGTGTGTGTGTGTGTGTGTGTGTGTGTGTGTGTGTGTGTGTGTTTTGTTTTTTGTTTTCCGAGACAGTGTTTCTCTGTGTAGTTTTGGAGCCTGTCCTGGATCTCTCTCTGTAGCCCAGGCTGGCCTCGAACTCACAGAGATCTGCCTGCCTCTGCCTCCCGAGTGCTGGCGTGCGCCACCGCCGCCCAGCTGAACTACACATCTTATTCCGGCCCCCCCAACCACTTGATAAATTGCTTACATTTGTTTAATTATCTTCTACCTAGGACCCTAGAAGACCCCCTCCCCATGCAAATCTCCCTATTTGGTGGGGAAGAGTAGGGACGGGTGACGACTAGCCATAACTGTTTTATGGCCTTTGTCATTGCCACAAGTGTCACAAGTGACACAAGAGCAGCGGTCTAAAGGCCTCTCAGCTCTGGCGGAAGCCCGAAGACACTGCCGGAAAAGCATCCCTGCTCTTAGAGTGTGCTCCCCTTAGAGGTAACACTATCAAAGAGGGTTCCACCTGCCACTCCGTGGATGAGGGCACCTTGAAGGAGGCGGGAACATAAACTGCTGGATTTGAAAGCTTAAAGCCAGGAAAAGCAGACCAAGCGAGCCCACCACGACCACCCGTTCCCCTCTAGCACAGCCTGGCATCTCCAAGGAGTCTCGGCAAAGATGCCAGCCCGCTGCTCCTTGTAGCACACGATGAACCAACCGTGTGGTTTGGTGGTGTGCTGGGATTCTGCTTAGCAGATAAAATAAACCGATTGGCTCTCCGTGAGTCAACCTCAATAAATCTCAAGAGGACCATGCTGAGGAGAAAAGAGTCAGTTCATGCTGAGGAGCAAAGAGTCAGTTCCCAAAGGATAAGTGCCTGTGATATTTATGCAAGTTTACCAAGGATTGAGAGAATGCCACCGGTGGATTGTAAGTGTGTGCATAGCTAAGACGGAAGAACGTGAGACTAATACAGACCAAGTTCAAAGAAGGTGGGGAGTGAGGGTGGAGGCCGTGAGCTGAACTTGGGGTGTTTGTGTGTTAGAGCTTCAAGGAAAAACAGCCAATGCCGGGCGGCGGTGGTGCATGCCTTTAATCCCAGCACTTGGGAGACAGAGGCAGAGGCAGGCAGATCTCTGTGAGTTCGAATCCAGCCTGGTCTACAAAGTGAGATCCAGGACAGGCTCCAAAGCTACACAGAGAAACCCTGTCTCGAAAAAACAAAAAAATAAAAAAAAAAACAAAACAAATCAAAACAAAACAAAAAAACCAGCCAAGCAGAAGGTGTGGCTTCTGTGAGGAAGATGGCCCGTGGGGCTGCATGCTGTTCCCTTCTTGTTGCATGTTTGGTCATTTTTCTTCTAAAGATTTCGTTGACTTTTGATGAAGTGTCTATGTGTGCAGGTGCCCATGGAGGCCAGAAGGGAGTGAGATCCTGGAACCGGTGGTTGTGAGCCAAACTTCCACCAGGTGCTGGGACCCAAACTCGGGTCTTCTGCAAGAGCAGTACGTGCTCATCAGCACCGAGCCCGCTCCCCAGCCCCTTCCATTTATTTTAAATCAAGCCTGTGTTAGTGTCTAGTCAGGACTCAGAAGGACTCGGAGGCCACTGGAGAGTTTAAAAGGAGAGGCCACTGAACAGACTGGAACCACGGTGGAGTTCCTAACCAGTGGTTCTGCCTGGGCCAGCAAGCTCTGCTGTAGCTACTGCATGTAACAGACTTCACCACGGCCCCGGAGCTGACAGCTGGGACAGGATAACACATCTCCACCAGGGTGGCTCTCTGGCAGGCTCGCTTTGCCGATGGCTGGGCTCCTCAGGCCATTCTCTGTGGCTCTGTGGCTTCCCAGGATGGTGGCCCCTGGGTCACGGGACTTCCCTGGTAGCTCATGTCTCCAAAGGTGAGCGTACTAAAAAAAAAAGCCATGTTGCCTTCACTGACCTCCGCCACCCTGGAAATCCCTCACTTCTTCCACTTGACATTCGTTAGAAGCCAGGTGCCTCGTGGAGTGGCTAGTGTGTCAGAGGATTCGCAGGCTTGCTTTAGTGCCGCCACAGAGAGGGCATGAATCCAGAAGGGGTAACGTCAGAGAGGGCTCCTGGCCAGAGCTGTGGCCCTCGGGAGGGGAGGACAGCTAACTAAACATCCCCTGCTGGTGCTTCTGACTGGCTGAGGCCAGCTAGTAGTGAGAGGACCTGGGAGCCCTAGCGGCTGGCCGAGGCACTGCTTACAGGCTGGTGGAAGGTGAGCCGGGAGGGGCAGATGGAGTCCTCCCAGCTGTCTCCATCCTTTCTGTGGCTTCGTAGGCTGGACAACCTGATGTTCCATCCCGAAAAGGCAGAGGTGCTCGCTGTCCTGGACTGGGAACTCTCTACCTTAGGGGACCCCTTTGCCGACGTGGCGTACAGCTGCCTGGCTCACTACCTACCGTCCAGCTTTCCCATACTGAGAGGTAGGAGCCCGTTCAGTGGCAAGCACTGTGACACGCACTGGCTGAAATGGTGGTGGCTGGGCTGGGCTGGGCTGGAAAGCGAGGTACAAGTAGTTTGAATAATAGTGTCACTAGAATGTGAGGGTACGAATGGGATGTATCTCCTTTCATCCATCGCACATTCTTTCCTTTCCAATTTTTCTTTTTGCCCTGGGGATTGAGTCTCGGGCGTCGTGCACACTAGCTGATCCTCTGGCATCAAGCTGTACCGTCAGCTTGCATCAGCTCTTGCTGATATGCCCAGGCTTCAACTTATGCCTTCCATTCTGTGTGTGTATCTATCTTTGTCTTTTGTTTCTGGGTTATCTGCCCTGAGACAGGCTCCTGACACTCCTACCTCCATTTTCCCGGTGCTGGGATTACAGGCGTGTGTCATCGCACCCAGTCTGTTATGGAAACAATATTTTGTTTCAATGACCAAATGACGAAAACCAATGACCATCTAATGTTATGATCTCATTGTTTCCACTTAGTGTATGCGCCACCTCCTTTACGACTGTCTGTAATCACATGTCTGGTGGAGGATGGCTTCCATCCGGGAGCTGTGGTCCAGGGGTAATCAGAGGCCACATTCCTTTATTTACTGTTAATTTGGTCGGAAACCTTGAGAGAACAGTTTGTAAAATAGGAGCTTCATGCTTGCCTCAGGCCATCGGCTAGAGCAAGGAGCCACTGGACTCACAAGCTGCCACATAGCTGTGAAAGTGGTTCAGGAGCATCGTGGCTTTCAGAATCCAGGCTTGCTAGCGGTAGGGGAGTGTAGGTAGCAACCACTTAGGGACGACTCTGTCTCTTATCTCAGGGTTCAGGGACCAGGATGTGACACAGCTGGGCATCCCAACGGTGGAGGAGTACTTCAGGATGTACTGTCTTCACATGGGCCTCTCGCCCGTCGATAACTGGAACTTCTACATGGCTTTCTCGTTTTTCCGTGTGGCTGCAATTCTACAGGGAGTCTACAAGCGGTCCCTCACAGGTAAGTGTTGGCCAGCCTGATGGTCACAGAGGCGTTGAGGAGACAGCTTTGGCCAGAATAGCGTAAGGACCAATTTTCTGAACCGTCATAGCAACGTGTACGTGTATAGCCAGATGTGGGGCACACACTTGGAATCCCAACACTTGGAAGGTGGGGTAGGAGGACGAAGACCTCCAGATCGTCCTCAGCTACACGTTGGGGGCTCCAAGAGGCCCTGTCTTCAAAATACAAACAGCAAAAACAGAGAAGCAGAGGGCGGGAAATGCCAGGGCACTCTGTGATGCTGGCGTTATCGTCCAGAGAAAATGGTGCCTAGACTAGCCATGGCGTTTTCTCAGAAGGGCTGCTCTGGGATCGAGTAGGATCTCTTACTGTTCCTAGGTGCTGCACAGCGACTTGGGGGTATCACTAAATCAGCTGCTTCTTGTTCTTCTTTTTGTTTATTTTTGTTTGTGTTTTGCTTTCTTGTTTTGTTTTGTTTTGGTTGGTTGGTTGTTTGTTTTTTGAGACAGGATTTCTCTGCGTAGCCCTGACTGTCCTGGCTGTTGCTGTGTTCCAGCTTGGCCTCAAACTCAGAGATCCACCAGCCTCTAACTCCTAAGTGCTGGGATTAAAGGTGCGCGCCACCAAAGCCTAAATCAGCTCCTTTAGGGAAAGGAATGGCAAGCAGCGGCGACATCTGACCTCTGATTGCTGGTTCTCAGGGGGACTGACTTACTGCCCTCTGCAGACTCAGTTTCCTCGTCCACTGAATTCAGATTCAGACAGCGTTGGCCTGGGAGTACAGGGCCCAGGCCCCGGTGTGGATGGAACAGGCGCTGAGCCGGTGGCAGTGGCTGCCCTCGGAATATCGGCCCTGTCGCTGCTCAGTCACCAGGAAGGCTGGTTAGGGGTAACCAGTTCTTCCATTCTGCCTAGGACAGGCAAACTCGGCAACTGCCAAACAAAGCGGGAAGCTCACCGAGTTCATGGCTGAGCTGGCATGGGACTTTGCCACCAAAGAAGGGTTCCGGATTTTCAAGGAGATGCCAGCTGCCAAACCACTAGTGAGATCCTACCGCGCATGTGCTGGGTCACGGCCCCCCCAGCAGACCCCCACGGGTGTGAGGAGTTACAGTACCGTAGCAGCTGCTTCCCCTGCTCAGGAGGCAAAGGGAGGCCTGATCATCTCTCCAGAGGGCCTCTCCCCTCGGGTCAGAAAGTTGTATGACCAGCTGTTGCAGTTTATGGAACAGAACGTGTACCCCCTGGAGCCAGAGCTGCAGAGACACCAGGCCTCGGCTGACAGGTGGACCCCTTCCCCGCTGATAGAAGACCTCAAGGTAAGCAAGCTCGTCAACATGGCTGACCCTCACCAACGAGGGAAGAGTCGAAGGGGGCTGAGTGGCGTCGGCTTGGTCTCCTGTCACTAGAAAGAGACAGCTGCTGATTAATCAGGTTTTATCCTGTCACAGCGAGGTAGCTGTGGTGAGAAAGGAGAATGGTAAGCCGGGCATAGTGCATCTCCTGTGATCCCAGCACTTGGGAGGTGGAGGCAAGAGGATGAAATATCCAGGCTGCTAGATGATGGTGGTGCACACCTTTAATCCCAGCCTTCAAGCAGGTGGGTTTCTGTGAGTTCCAGGCCAGCCTGGTCTACAATCGAGTCCCAGGACAGGACAGCCAGAGCTGTTATATAGAGGAAACCTGCCCTACTCCCTTCTCCCCAAAGAAGATAATAGATGGTCATGGCTGGAGAGTTGGCTCAGACATTAAGAGAATACTGCTATTGCAGAGGACCCAAGTTCAGTTCCTAGTACCCACACCAGGTGCTCACAAACCACCTGAAACTCCATCTCCAGTGGTTCCAACACCACACCTCTAGCCTCCATGGGCCCTGCATTCACATGCATACACACACACACACACACACACACACACACACACACACACACACACACTTACATTGTTTAGGTTTGCTTTGCTATGTTTTGTTGAGACAAGAGTCTCTCTATGCATCCCTGGTTGGCCTGGAATTCAACATGTAGACCAGTGTAACCTCAAACTCAAAGATCCACTTGCCTCTGCCTCCCAAGCACTGGGGTTAAAGATGGGTGCCATCAGTCCTGTATAAATCTTTATCTTTAATATAAATTTTTTGTTGTTGTTGTTTTTCAAGACAGGGTTTCTCCATATAGTTTTGGTGCCTGTCTTGGATCTCGCTCTGTAAACCAGGCTGGCCTCGAACTCACAGAGATCCGCCTGGCTCTACCTCCCGAGTGCTGGGATTAAAGGCGTGTACCACCACCCAGCAGATATACATTTTTTTTTTTTAAAGATTCAGTGATTGAGTCTCTCCTTTTTCCCCTGACAGGAGAAAGCCAAGGCTGAAGGGCTTTGGAACCTTTTCCTACCCTTGGAGACAGATCCTGAGAAAAAATACGGAGCGGGGCTGACTAACGTAGAGTACGCACATCTGTGTGAAGTAATGGGCATGTCCCTGTATGCTTCTGAGGTACAGTCCCCCCAGTGTGTGAGAACATGTTCCCCACATGGCCAGTTGCCTGTGTGGGAAGTCAGATCTAGGGGTACCATACGACCTGAACATCACACGAGAAAAGAAGGCAGGTAACAGGCAGCTGACTTCAGCCTGCACAGGTAGTTGGCTCAGCAGGAGAACCACCCAGGGGTGTGGGCTGTGGGGGCTTCTAGCCCCTGGCTCCAGGGTCCTCTACTTCAAAGAAGTGATATATGGGGGCAGGGGGGTTCGGGGCATCTGAGACTTGACTTCAGGTGTGTATGAGCCTTCTCTGGGGAGAGGAAGGGCTTTTATGAGATGTGAGGGGGTCAGTGATGTGGAAGGGGTCCAGCCCTGCCTCTTCCAGGAGGTTGAAGATGTGGGGGCACCCATGTGTTTCTCCTCCTCAGGTATTTAATTGTTCTGCCCCGGATACGGGGAACATGGAGCTCCTGGTGCGGTATGGCACCGAGGAACAGAAGGCCCGCTGGCTGGTGCCACTGCTGGAGGGCAGGATCCGCTCCTGCTTCGCCATGACTGAGCCCCAGGTACTGTGTTCACGCCTTTTGGCGGGGGGCCCCAGCTGCTCTCTGCCCCTGGGGCGTGTAGGTCCATGGGGACTCTAACCAGAACGTGCTCCCACGCAGGTGGCCTCGTCAGATGCCTCCAATATTGAGGCTTCCATCAGAGAGGAAGGTGGCTCCTATGTCTTAAATGGTCGCAAGTGGTGGATCTCAGGTACTTGACCCGGAATAGCGTTTTCAGTTTTTCAGTCTGTGTGGACCAGCAGCCCTCTCTGACGTCTGTAGGAGCCGCACGGGGTACATTGTGTTGTGGGACCTCCAGGTGTCACCAGGCGACCACACCTGTGGCCGTACCCCTGCAGGCAGCCCTCTTTACCCCGCCCTGCCAGCCTCTTTCAGCTGGGAGTCTTCCTGGAGGCTTCCCCCTGCTCTGAGGTCACGTGTATTGTATCTCAGGGGCTTCCAAGTGCCTCTCTGTCCCTCAGCTCACAGCGTGCTTGTACTTCCCCTAAGGCCGGGCTGGTGACCCCATCCCGTTTCACAGGAGGAGACTAGGACTCGGGGTGACCAGTCACTTACCTAAGGCTGTAGTACCAATCTAGCAAGTGGAGAACAGGCCTCAGAATTTGCGTGACTCCAGGGCCCCTGTCTAAAGCTGTTCTTTCTAGCACCTGTGGGGATAGCAGGGCAGGCTGTGGGGAGGAAGCAGAGGAAGCAGCAGTTTGTAGAAGAATCTTTTTTTTTCTGTCAATGAGAAATTTGTGTGCGTGCGTGCGTGCGTGTGTGTGTGTGTGTGAGAGAGAGAGAGAGAGAGAGACAGACAGACACACACACACACACACACACACACAGAAGTTATCATGTAGCCCGTGCTGACCTCAGACTTGCTGTGTAGCTGAGGCTGGCCCATCCTCATGCCTCCCACAAAGCACAACAGCGGCCCGCTGGAGCACAGATCGGCCTTGGAGTCTTCAGCAGTTTCCCGCAGCAGACACCAGATGGGAGCTTGAGAGCCTGAAGTTAGTTCAGTTGTCTTCTGGGTGTTCCCAGGGATGCCACCGTCCTGGGCCTAACAACCCCCAGCGTCCACTAGAGGGTGCACTGTCTTCAAAGTCTTTTGCAGCCAGGTCTGGCTTGGCTGCTTCACCGTGGATGAACTTGTGAGCTGTCTCGTTTTGTAGACATCTCATCACGTAACCCTCTTCCTCAGCAAGCTAGAGGAAGCCCTTTATGGCAGCCACCTTGGGTCTTCTTTCTGTTTTTTTCAAATCTAACATGATGGTTTTTAAATTTTAGTTTTCATGGGGCTGGAGAGAGAGGGCTCAGCAGTTAAGGGTGTTCGATTCCCAGTACCCACACGGTGCCTCACAACCATCTGTGACTCTAGTTCCAGAGGATCTGGCTCCCTCTTCTGGCTTCTTTGGGCACTGCACATACATGATGCACATTGCATGCAGACAAAATGTTCATAGTTAAAACATTGCTCTTAGGCCAGGCAGTGGTGGCACACACCTTTAATCCCAGCACTCAGGAGGCAGAGCCAGGCAGATCTCTGTGAGTTCAAGGCCAGCCTGGTATAGAGCGAGATCCAGGACAGGCACCAAAACTACACGGAGAAACCCTGTCTCGAAAAAAAACAAAAAACAAACATAAAAAACATTGCTCTTATGGTGCTGGATTCCAGTCTCAATGTGGTAAGTTCTGTCTGGCCTGGAGCCTGCACGTGCTTCTCTGGTTGGGTGGGCCTGTCAGGGTCCTAGCTTTGCCTTTGACAGGCCAGGGCTTCCTGTGGTTAGAGGCTCCATGGCCTTGGCATCTGCTGATAGAATGCATCTGTCTTCTCTCCTGGCAGGCATCCTGGATCCACGCTGCAAACTCTGTGTGTTTATGGGAAAAACAGACCCACAGGCCCCGAGGCACCAGCAGCAGTCCATAGTCTTGGTTCCCATGGACACTCCAGGAATCAATGTCATCCGGCCTTTGTCAGTGTATGGACTGGAGGATGCTCCAGGTTAGATCTCCCAGGGTCAGTCACTCTGAGTATGGCTCTAGTCCATGGGCAGCAGTTTTGGGGAGCCCGCGTTCTGTTCAGAAATTTCCGTGTACTGAGAATCTTTATATATACCAAGGGTGGTACCAGCCATTTGTTTGCTAAGAAGCACGAACGGCCCAGCAGACTGCCTGTGTGTGTTTATGCTTGACTTTCCTCTTCTAATCTCAGAAGATAAGCAGGAGTCCTCGAGACGAGACAGGCGGACAGAGGCGCCAGGGCAGCGGGCTTGGCTTTCGGGTCTTGTGCAGGTCACAGCCCCAGTGGAGTCCCTCACCTATGTGAGGAGTGGGCCTTTTCTACGGACAGCATTCACACCCTCACCTCTGGCATCCCCGGAGAACTGATGCATTGTTCCTCATCTCGAGGTTCTGGCCTGCATCCTATTTTACCCACAAGGCCTGAAACATGGCTCAGTGGGTATTTCCGCCAGGCCTGATGACCCGAGTTCAGTGCTTGTGACCCACACGGTAAAAGAAGAGAGCTGATTCTGCTATTTGTCCTAAAACTAAATAACTCGTGGCCAGTGAGATGACTCAGTAGGTAAAGGTGCTTGCTGCCAAGCCCGACAACATGGGTTCAATCCCCAGGACCTGCATGGTAGAAGAGACCTGACTCCCACAGGTTGTTTTCTGACCTCCCCAAATTCACCGTGCCTATGTGCAGACACACACACACACACACACACATACACACACACACACACACACTCAGCAGTAAAATTAAATGTGCAAAACTTTTTTTTTTTTTTTTTTTTTTTTTTTGGTTTTTCGAGACAGGGTTTCTCTGTGTAGCTTTGCACCTTTCCTGGAACTCACTCTGTAGACCAGGCTGGCCTCGAACTCACAGAGATCCGCCTGGCTCTGCCTCCCGAGTGCTGGGATTAAAGGCGTGCGCCACCACCGCCTGGCGGCAAAACTTTTAAAGTAAATGGCAGAAGCTGGGCAGTGGTGGCCCATGTCTTTAATCCCAGCAGGCAGATCTCTGAGTTCAAGGCCAGTGTGGTCTACAGAGTGAGTTCTAGGACAGCCGGGGCTATACAGAGAAACCCTGATTTGAAAAACCACAAGGAATGGCAGAATAACTTGTTTTTGCCGAAGACAGCAATTCTATTCCCTTGTTTCTGTCCATCCATCTGTCCGAGTCATCCCCCACCATTCCACCCCAGTCCTCTCCTTAGCTGTGACACAGTTAGAAGGCTAAGGTCTGGGGACAGTACCAGCACTAGAGGAGTAAGCACATCCAAGGAAAATGTGTTTTGGTCTTTCAGGGGGCCATGGTGAAGTACATTTCAAGGACGTGCGTGTGCCCAAAGAGAACATAGTCCTAGGCCCTGGTCGAGGCTTTGAGATCGCGCAGGGCAGGCTGGGGCCTGGCCGGATCCATCACTGCATGAGGCTGATTGGGTATTCGGAGAGGGCCCTGGCGCTCATGAAGACCCGCGTGAGTCCCCTAATTCCTACAGTGTCTCACAGCCACTGTTGCTGGCCGGGGAACTTCAAACTCTGGTGCCCTTCTGAATGATGATTTTCAGGATGATGTTCATGCCCAGAATCTGTGATCTCTACTTTGCGTCTGCTCTCCTTGGCCACGGATGACTTACAGAGTGGAATGGCCACCTCTCTGTCCAAGTGGCCAGAAGCCAAGGCCAGGCTTTATGGTAGCTGAGGGTGAGGTACCAACGCCCACAGGATCATGGGTAGCCAAGAGCCGTCTGTGCTCCCAGCACATGGTTAAAACTCGGACCCCAGGGAGATCCTGAGTTGCCTGTTTGTACCTGTGGGGACACAGCACCTCGGCCTATGCATATCACCCTCCTTGTCCAGTGTGTCCAGAACATATAATCTGAGCCAGCATGGGATCTTATTCCAGTAATTCCAGCCCGTGAAAGCTGAGGCAGAAGGATTGCTGCAACTTCCAGACTAGGCTAGATTCCATAACAAGACACTGTGTGAAACAACAGAAGTCATTTGCTGTGGGCCCCTTAACAGCTACAGGCCTACATAGTACATCAGGGCAGCAGAGTGGGGGTCTGCAGGAGGCAAGGAGCAGTTTGGTTCAGCATGACTGAGTAGCTGGTGTCGGTTCTAACTTCATGAGTCTGTCCCCCACATGGTTTATTTTAGGTCTCTTTAAGCACAGGATAATTTGGTGAAAACTTATTCTACTGATGATTAACTCGATCCCATGTGCACAGCAAAGCATATATGAGTCTCTTTGAGAAACAAAGTAAACTCAATATAGATCGGGAGGGACTACATTGAACCCACAAAATATATAATAAAACTTAAAGACAGTATGTATGTATATATTTATATGCATATAGAACGTATGGAGGGGCAAATACCAACCATATGTTTTGAGATGGGCTTGCTGTGCTATCCAGATTGGTCTCAAGCTCCTAGACTCCAACAGCTTGCCTACCTCAACCTCCCAAATAGCTCACGCTGCAGACACACTGTGCCCTGTTGACAGCCACCTGCTGTCACTATAGAAAATTAGATGGTGGGATACTATGTATTTTTTTCTGCCTTTTGTCTGGAAATGGATAGTCGTGCCACAAGATAAATTATTTGTGTAAAAGTTACTTTCCCCAAGGATAGATCAATAAACACATGAAAGAAGAATGCCTTGATAGCCCTTTCCATCTAAGATGGGGCTCCAGGGTGTGAGGCTGGCCATCGTCAGCAGGTGGCGACCTGCCCCTTGGTGAGGCTCCCACAGTCCCCCCCCACCCCTGCCTTCCTGGGTACTGCCTTGGTCAGAAGCAGCTCAGGGCCTTCCCTCTTCCCAGCCTCATACCCAGAGGTTCAGTAAAGGGTTCTCAGAAGTAATCTGACCACCAGGAGATGGTGGCTTAGTGTAGTGTGTGTAAAAAGTGGCTCTCACCTCAAAAGAAGGTGATTTCAGAGCCATGTGTGAATGACCATTGCCCAGGAATACAGATTTAGATGATCTCAGATTCCATGTTGCAATGTGTTAAGTTTTACCAAGTTTCCTTTTGTTTTGAGACAGGGTCTCACACTGTGTAGCCCCCACCCCAGTCTCCACCCCACTCCCCGAACTCACAGAGACCCACCTGCTTCTCTTTGGGATTCAGGTTTGCTGCCATGCCCAGCTTCATGAAGTTTGTATAGGAACAGAACAGAGAGTCATAAAACACTTGCGGATAGTTGATGGCGCATCAGGCAGGCGAGTCCCAACACAAGTGGGGACATCTCTGCTGGAGGTCTCTGGTACCATCTGACAACATCCTTAGCTTCGGGGTTGGTGGAGGCAGGCATCTCCACCTTCCAGAAGGACTTCCCTGAGTCACGAGGATGTTGATTTCACACAGCAGTGGTCAATACATGGCTGTTGAGGCACGAAGGTAGCCTGAGATTCCTGCCTCTGACCTGCAGCATTGTGAGCTCTCCGGGGTCACTGAAGCTGTGTCCAGTCCGTCAGCCTTCGCAGGATGTTCCGCATAGGTGTGGCATCTGTGATGAGCGTTATGGCCTATGCTCAGAACCCTGCCGCCAGTCAGCAGGCAGGCAGCTCCCGCTTCTGCTCTCTCCCTTCCCGTGTGTCCTGCTCCCCTGCGGATCCCCTGCTCCCGAGCCTCGCAGGGCCACTCTAGGCCCGGCTCCTCAGCCTTGTCTCTCTGGCGTCTGTAGGTGATGTCCCGCACAGCCTTCGGGAAGCCCCTTGTGGAGCATGGCACCATCCTGGCAGACATTGCCCGGTCACGTGTGGACATTGAGCAGGCACGGTTGTTGGTGCTGAAAGCTGCCCACCTCATGGATGTGGCAGGAAACAAGGTGGGAAGCCTCACCGGTGACAGGTGTCACCCCGGAGTGACACCAGAGTCAGCCCTTCTCTCCCTGTCTGGCTCTTGGACGCTACTGTTCTCTTGAGCTCTGGTCATCTGTTCCCGTCCAGAAAAGGCCCAGGAAGAGGGGAACTGCCACTTTACCAGCTGTGATTTTCCTGGTTTGTTAAAGGGAGGTCTGGTGGCTCTGTACTCCCGTGGCATGTCGGTGGGGGAGGTAGATGAGGGAAGAGAGAGCTGGGGAGGAGGGGCGTCACAGGCCCTGTCCAAATGAAGTGTCAGCCAACGGAGGGTCTTCTTCCCAGAGCGCCATTACCCATCGCCTATCGTGGCTAGGCATGGTGCATGCTGACTGCTGGGTTATTTGGCTTCCCATGCAGGGCCCCTGCACCCAGCCAAGAGCTGCAGTGACCGGGGTTGGGTAGCATAGATCTTGGCTCTTTGATGCTTTTGTTGCTGGAGGCTTGAGATGCCTCAGTCAGTGGCCAGCCCCGAGGTCATCCTCTCTGGCTTCGGTCCGCTGTCGCTGGACACGGCCGTTTTGTGTTTGTGGTGCTAGGAGTCAAAGCCAGTGCTTTGTGCTTGCCAGGTGGGTGCTGTCCACGGGCAGTCGCTCAGGCCTCTGGATCTGGCTGTGGCCCAGAACGCAGTACCTGCCATTCCCCTCTTGCAGAACCCATCCCCGCGTCTACCCGGACAGTCACTTTGGCTTTATATGCTTTTAGCGCTTTGTCCTGTTTTTCTAACTCTGCCTTCTCCTGCAGGCTGCAGCTTTAGAGATTGCCATGATCAAAATGGTAGCCCCGTCCATGGCCTATCAAGTAATTGACCGTGCTATTCAGGTGAGCCACCCTCCACCGCCCTCCACTGTGCCCACCACTTCCCTTTTCAAACCAAGCTCGTGCAGGGCCCCCCTCCTTCCCGAGCCCAGTTCAGTAAGTGCCTCGCCCAGAGCATTCTGCTTGCAAGTAGCTGGCCCAGGCTCAGGGGAGCCCTGTTGCTGCTCAGACCCAATGCCCCGACTCTGTGGGGTGCCTCCTTCCACATCCTGACACCTGGTCCCCCACAGAACTTTCTCAGTAGCAGAAACAACCTTGAAGAACAGCCTTGGTGATTCAGGCATCCCAAGGGTGGCAGTGTGGCCCCATGTGAAGTCTGGAACTCACAGGTGTCGCAGGGGGCCCCCTGGGGAGACAGCTGTCACCAGCTGTTCTGAGCAGGATGTCACATTCAGAACTCACCCAGGCCTCCTTCTCCTTCCTACCATGTGTCTGCCAGGCCTTCGGAGCAGGGGGCCTGAGCAGCGACTACCCTCTGGCTCAGTTCTTTGCCTGGGCCCGAGCCCTGCGCTTCGCTGATGGCCCAGACGAGGTACACCGGCTGACCGTGGCTAAGATGGAAATGAAGAGTCCCAGCAGGCTACAGGCACCAGCAGTGCCCAGAGTGTAGATTCTGTGCTTGGAAAGGCCAGGTATGTGTGGTTCCTGCGTCGCATCCAGCACCTCAGTCTGGGACATGCTGACTGAGTCTTCTGGGGCCCCCAGAGAAGGCATTTCTGGATAGGCTGTGAGTTTGTGTTTTAGGCGTGGAGGAAGGGCATTTGGGTCCAGGCCTGGGGAGTTGGTCTTGAATTCCTCAGACTTGACCTGTGGCTCCCCCACTTTTGCACGCTGTAGGAATCTGGACACCTGTGTGCCGTGTTCTCTCTAGAGGCGATGGGGTTCCTTCTCAGGCCTTCTAGGAAAGCCGAGGGCGCGGACCACAGCAGATGTTTCTGGGAACTGGGATGAAACCACTCTGTGACCGCTGGAGTGCCCACATCATGGAATACTGACTCAGATGCCCTGGTAGAAAGGGACTGTTGGGACACACAGTCTGTGTACCTCCTGTGTCACATGAAGGACATGGGAATAAAGGCTCCCATAGCCCCTGTGACTCAGGTGCCCGTGGCTTCCTCACGCCTATGCTGCTTCCCCTGCACGGGCCCCATATGCCGGGGCCCCTTGGGTCATGGATACCATGGCTCCTGATTCTCCCAATGTCTTCACCTCCCCTCGCCACCAGTTCCCTACCCTACTCCAGAAAACCTCACCAGAGGAACCATGCCATCCGAGTGAGATCCCGGTTAACTGCGACACTCTGCCACCTGTCAGCAGTCATGGTGGGGCATGAGGGAAGTCAGACAAGATGCTGCTGAGATCAGAAGAGTAATGTGTCCTCTCTGAGGATCGGGGGATGGCCACCTTGGCAAGGTCTGAGGTCATACAGGAACAGGGGCCCCATGAGACCAGAAAAGATGAAGCCATTTCTGGGAGGACTCAGCTTTAAGATGCAGCCACAGCCCGTCTCTGGGCAGCAAGCTGGGCTGGCACCATCACATGCTGTACTGTAGACCTGACCTCAGGGTACCTGCTTCCTCCAAATGGACTTGATGCTGCAGCCTGTTCCGTGCACTATAGAGTGTACAGTCACCACAGGCTCCTGACTGGGTTTCTCAGGTGTGCTGGGAACACAGGTGCCACCACACCTGAGGAACAGTTCCTGAAGGACGATCGATGAAGTGCCCACCGATCACTGTCAGCATAGCGCCAGCACACCGGCAGATTCCTGCAACCTGAGTCCCACCTCTGTTTCAGGCCTAGGAGAAAAAGAGGGGTTCGTAAAAAGCAAGTGGTCATGACGTGGCATATTATGTGGCCCTAAGAATGCCTCTCGTGCCTCCCGAGGTTAACCTTGCTCCACTGCACGCCAACGCGTGACCCCACATCTCCCTCAGATTCGCTGCTTCAAGGCCCGGGTACACCAGCATGTGTAAGCCCCCCGGTCTTAATCACTGAGCTATCTGCACAAATCCCAGTGTGGGTTTGTAAAAGACCCTGCCAGGGCTGGGGAGGGGGCAAGGCCGGGAAAATGCTTGCTGCACAGGCATGGGCTCCTGAGTCTGTGTTCCAGGACCCGCATGGGAAAGCGGAGTGTGTGGCACATGCTTGTGATCACGAGGAGGGCAGCGACAGGAGGGTCGCTGTGGCTCACCGGCCAGCCAGTCCTGCCTGCTTGCTCAGTTCTAGGCCCCATCTCAAAAATCAAGATGGCCTGGTCCTGAAGAATTACACCAGAGGTTGTCCTCTGGCCTCCAGAGACACACAAGAAACACACACACACACACACACACACACACACACACACACACACACACACACACAAAGTAAATGACTCTCTCTCTTTTTTTTTTTTTAAAGATTTGTTTGTCGTGTATACAGAGTTCATTCTGCCTGTATAAGGAGGCACTGGATCTCATTACAGATGGTTGTGAGCCACCCTGTGGGAATTGAACTCAGAATCTCTGGAAGAGCAGCCAGTGCTCCTCACCTCTTGAGATATCGATCCAGCTCCTGTAAAAGACTTTTTATTCTTCAAAGTTGTGGGGGTTTGAATTAAAGTTATATGAGTATGTAATGAATTTGTGACGTGGTCATGAGAACATGCGATGTTGATTTTTTTTTAACTTTATTTTTGATTTGTGTCTGTGTGAGGGTGTCAGATCTTGGCGTTACAGACAGTTGTGAGCTGCCATGTGGGTGCTGGGAATTGAACCCGGGTCCTCTGCAAGAGCAGCCAGCGCTCTTAACCACTGAGCCATCTCACCAGCCCGCGATGTTGGTATTTCTTTTTTTCTTTCTTTTTTTTTTTTTTTTTTTTTTTGGTTTTGTTTTGTTTCGAGACAGGGTTTCTCTGTGTAGCTTTGTGCCTGTCCTGGATCTCGTTCTGTAGACCAGGCTGGCCTGGAACTCACAGAGATCCGCCTGGGATTAAAGGCGTGCTGTACCACCGCCCGGCCGATGTTGGTATTTCTTAAGAAAGACATTGGGAATGCCAACAAACGCAAGAAGGAACACAGCAACACCTGCCACTTATCTGTTTCCAGGGGATAGAGTACATGATACTCCCACCCTGAAGAGTGCTTTCTGAAGACAAACATTGCTGTGTTGTATAACCTCGAACATGGTACCTATGAAGAGCTCTTCTCTGCTGAACTGTAAACACTAATTCTATTAACAATGGAGCTGTAACAGTAGAAGGGGCCTTTGCTGTCCCGAGCGCTGAGAGGTTGTCTGGAGTCACCCCAGTTTCCCACTTCCAGTTCCTCCAGCATTTGTCAGAAGAGGCGATTTGACCAACCTCTCCCAAAAGTTCACCAGCCGTTCAAGCTGAAGTTCCCTAACGTCCACGGACTCCAGCGGAGTCTCCCGCAAGAATAAACAGGAAATACAAAGGAGCAGGAGCCATGGTTTTAGAAGACACAGGGAAGGATTCCAGGATCACCTGGCATAGCCTTCCCAGCCTATCTCCAGTCTGGCCGTTCTGTGGCACCTCGGTGGCCATCCTGGCACTTAGCTCCATGGAAGCACACCTGTCTTCCAGCAGGCTGCTCAGGCCCCAGTGGGCTTGGTCTGGTGAGGATCCAGTCTGACCAGTTTTATGGGCTCCATCCCCCTGTGGCCTGACCTGTCTTGGAAGAGGATCAAGGCAGAGCAATCCTGCCGTCCCTCCTCCCACCACAGCTTCTATCCTAAAACAGGAATGGTAACACAACCGTCTGGGCCCCTCTGGGCACTCATTGGGCGGGATTTCCATGGGGACAGCGGACCGTCTGACTCCAGGGTCCCATCAAAGGTGCTGCCTTTGCTCCTACGCCTCCATTTCTTCATCTGTGTGTTCCCAGCAGCCTCCTGCAAATCTCAGCCTGTGCTCCCTCAAGCCCTGATTTCAGATACAGTCCTGAGATTCCAGAACCATCCTGAGAGGCTGGTCTCCAGGTGACCTTAACCTGCCTGGCCAGGGCCCCTTCAAGGCCACAAGGAGAGTGGAGCCGAGAGAGCCAGGCTCCAGGATGCACTGGGTCTTAGGGTAGTTTTCTGTCACCTCAGGGCTTCAGGCTCCCCAGGGATGTGTGG